GTTGATCTCAGCAGGGGAGAACTTCTTAGAATAGAATGCCACCGGATGTAGCTTCCCATCATCCCCATACTGAGAGAGCACCGCTCCCTTGGCAAAATCACTGGCATCTGTCTCGACCACCGTTCTCCTACTAGGGTCAAAATGAAGGAGGATTGGAGCGCTTGTAAACAGCCTCTTGAGTTCTTCAAAGGCCTGCTCATGTGCTGCTGTCCAATACCATTTCTTGTCTTTTTGCAGGAGGTCAGTTAGTGGTTTGCAAACCTTACTGAAGCCTTCAATAAAGCGGCGATAGAAGTTTGCAAATCCGAGGAATGCCTGTACTGCCTTGATATTCTCAGGGACCGGCCATTCCTTAACTGCCTCCACCTTGTCTTCTGACATAGATACTCCTTGTTCCGAGATATGATAGCCTAGGTATTCTACTTCTCGGACATGGAAGGATGTCTTATTGATCGAGGCACAGAGCTTAGCTTCCCTAAGCTTCTGTAGTACCTTCTTGACCAATAGCTCATGCTCTTTCTCAGTCTCCGAGTAGATGAGGATGTCATCGATATAGACAACTACTCCTTCATCCAGTAGTTCCTTTAGCACATCATTGATCATTGCCTGGAAAGCGGAGGGAGCATTGCATAGGCCAAATGGCATCACATTGTACTGATACAGTCCATAGCGGGTTCTGAAAGCGGTTTTCCACTCATCACCTTCGGCTATCCTGATCAAATTGAAGCCATTCTTCAGGTCTATCTTTGTGAAGATCTTGGCCTTGAACAACCTGTCTCTGAGCTCACTCATGATAGGCAGCGGGTACTTGTCCTTGACAGTGACCTTGTTCAAACCTCTATAATCCACACAAATCCGCAAAGTCCCGTCCTTCTTAGGAATGAACAGTATGGGTGCCGCAGCAGGGCTATTCGATCTAGAGATCTTTCCTGAAGACAACTCTTTGTCCAGGTACTCTCGGAGGGCCTTCAACTCTGGAGCGGAGCATGGGTATAGCGGGCCAAATGGGGGAGCGGTCCCAGGCAAGAGTTTGATCTTCAGATCATTATGGGAATGCGGCGGCATTTCCTCAATCTTCTCTTGACTGAACACATCAGCCCAATCCCGGTATAGGTGGTGTATTTTCTCGGCAATATCACCTCCGTCCTCATCATGCCATACTGAACCAACCAATTGATAGACTGTCTCTTCTTCTTCCAACATTTGGTATGGAGAGATCAGTTCAATCTTGGTGGCCGCTGGGAGACAATTCTGCTTGCAGTAGTCACTCCTCCAGCTCATGGTGTTGAGTTCCCAGTTGATGTCCGGGTTATGCTTCCTAGCCCAACTAATTGGCAGGTAACCGGTCATTCCTTCTTCCAGTGTAGCCACCTCCCATCGGAGTGTCTCTTTATGATCTCCCATAGTCATGCGGACCGGGTGAGTGTAATACTCGCCTCCTCCCATCATGACATCTCCTTGAGCATCAAACATTGTCAGAGGTTGATCCCGCCGCACTAAGGGAATTCCATGTTTCCTGACAAAACTCTGGTTGAGGATAGCTCCTGTACAACCGGTGTCAAACAGAAAAGACCCTTGGGCGCCTTCATCCTTTCCTTTGACCGTCCATGACAGTCCTGCCTTTAGTATAGGTCTTTTTCCATGTACTGGTAAGGAGGGAAGCCTCTGTTCCAACCTTCTTTGCTTAACAGCGGGTTCTGAACTTGTTTCTCTTTGTCTTTTCAACATAGCTAATAGCTTCGGGCACTACTAAGATCAGAGATCCTTTGGTTCTATTCCCAAGCGGTAATATAGCAGATATATTGTGTAGTAGTCTTTTTAGCAGTGGTTTGGAAGTGTCTTGGTAGCAAAATGTAACTTTGGTAGAGCACTGACAGACCAGCTGTTTCGGGTCTTAAACCCATCCTCAGAGTGCTTGGAGCAATCAAATAGGCGGAAACACAATCATAATTTATTCAAGAGAAACATAGAAACCAAAAACCCATATAAAAGAAAACTAGTAAACATAGACTAAAACAGACACTTTTTCTACCAGATGATTTCATTGTCCGAGTCTTGCTCAGGCTGAAAAACAAAATCTTCTGTAACCTCCGGGAGTACAACAAGTGGATCTTCTGCTACTACAGCAGCCACTTTAGCCTTCTTCTGAGAGTTGGATTTGCCATTCCCTCTTTTCCGTTTTTGTACTCTCACTGCTGCCACTCGGACAACAGTAGGTTCCTTGGACCAACAATCGGTCCATTTGTGTCTGGACTTGCCGCACTATTGCACAAGTCAGTCTATGCACTCTACCAATAGGGAGTACCGGAAGGTCATACCTTCAAGCATACTTCTGCTTTCCTTCTTTCTTCTAGAATATCCCCCGGGATACCCTTCAGTTCCACCGCTTTGTCTTTAGGTCCTGGAGTCTTCTGAGGTCCGGAGGAGCTCGCAGCTTCTCTTTTCCTCTTAGGCTGCTGGTCCTTCTGAGTGGGAGGATCTTTCTTGGTCCGAGGGTGCGCTTTCTCAGCTGCCATCCCTTGGTACCTCTCATGGGTATGCCCTAACTCTCTTAGAGCAGCTATCCGCTCCATCAAGGACTTTGGCTTGGGGTTGAAAAGAGCCCAACTCATGCCTAGGTCCGGAAGGAGGGAGTTATGGATCTTATCATCCACCAACTGACCCTCATAGCCAGTCTTCCACATCAGCTGAATAATAGTATTCAGGAAGAGGTCTATTCCTCCTCGAGCTGTGTGGGTGAGGGTATTCCATTGGGCTACAGCATCATCTCTAGAGATGGCTTCACCGAAGGCAGCTCTAAAAGCATCCACAAAGGAATCCCAGCGCTTCCATCTCTGATCCAACTGCACCGGTATTCCAGCAAGGCGGTTGGCGGAGGCTTGATCAATTGAATTGTGGTATGCCTCATACCATCGGATCGCTGCCTCCCCTTCCATCAAGTTGCCTGCATATCGGATCTTAACCTCCTGAGAGGTAAATGACAGGCTCTCAATGGAGAACACATTCTCACATTGCCGGATGAAGGTTTCCACTTGCTCCGCCTTGCCTTGGAACTTTGATGGTGGTGGTGCCTTTGGTTCTCGAGCTCTGGTGGAAGTAGAAGGGTGGGAGGTGGTCGGAGGTTGATACTGCTGGGACATCATTGCCAACAGATTCTTCTGTTGCTTCTCCAACTTCTTCTTAAGGTATCTCCGCCAACCTCTTCTGTTATTACCTTCTGGTTCCGAGTCTGAGCTGTCAGAATTATCCGAATCTCCTGGGATGGGAGCACGGGCTGCTGGAGGTGGAGGGTTCTGATTTCCGCCACTTCCTCCTTGTGCCTGAGGTGGAGGGGGAGCAGCGGCCGCAGCAGGAGGGGCCACAGGTGCTACTGGTGCCGGGTTGCTAGCCAGTGGTGAGGTTGCTGCTGGTTGAGCAGCCCCAGACATGGTAAACCTTCCTGGGTTCCTGGCTAGCGGACTAGGAGGTCCTCGGCCTGCACCTGAGAAGAACTCTCCTTCATAGTCAAAGGATCGGTCGGCTCCTCCAAGGAGTGGATGTGTTCCACCGAAGCGGCTAGGTGGTAAGGGTGAAGCCCCCACCGCTGGCTGTACAATAGGGATAACTCTCCTAGTGGATCGGACCGGAAATGCTGCAAAGGGGCTGGTCTTCCGCTGCATTGTTCTGGTAGCTGCTCTGGAAGAGGACCTGGAGACTGAAAGTGGTGCCGGAGTTGCTGGTCTACCCACCACCAACCTTCCTTCATCAAGAGCTCTCTGTATCTCGGCAACAAAGTCTGGTGGAGTGGCCGGATTTGTCCACTCAATCTCCATGGCATCAACATCGGCATTTAGTTCATCTCTTTCTGCATACTTCCGGAGCTCTTCCTGAACAGAGTTGACTTCCGACCTCATGTACTCTAGAGCTTCTGCCATCAGAGCATTCTGTGCTGCCTGGCGCTCTTGTACAATGAGCAGTGCCTGACTGCCTCGGTTCAACTGACTCTGCAAGCTATGCTGGAGGTAGGTCTGAAGCTCTGTGAAGAACTGTTGTAAGGGAACCTCATCGGTATCCTGCCAGGCAGGCTCACAGCCGGGAATATAGGCCTGTAGAGCGGTCCTGGGTTTCTTAACAAGCTGTGTCTGCCCGGTGGCATCAAGCTGGAGGGGCACCGGCTGCCATTCAATCTGAAGGGGTGCATCTGGAGCCGAGAGGGCGGACATTTTGTATAGAGGAAGAATAATCTGAAGGTGACTTGAGCCTTAAAGATTATCTGTAACGGGGGTCCTTTCTAAGAGAAATAGATTTGTATAGAATAAAGACGGCCGTGCAAGATAGACAATCAGGTTGCAGATTATTCAAAGATACTATCGCTAGAACTCAATAATCTTTAAGGGCTCTGCTACCGATGAGAACTTGGTTTTTCTTTCTGATGAAGACTGGAGAGAATAGGACTGAAGGGCGGGAATGAACCTGAGTACTTATACTCCGAAGGCCTCTGTTCTCTGCTCCTAACTCCTTTACTAAGTTCCGGTGGGCCTTCCCTCAGTACCGGAAACAATACCACCGCTACCCCGCTTTTCTCTAAGCGTCAGCAGGTGTTTCCGATACCCAAGGCAACCACCCTTAGTCAAAGCCTTTGTAACACCTGCAGCCTTGGTTGCCACACAACTGAGGACCTGCATGAATGAGCTGCCGCTCAGGTGTAAGCTTAATCATTGCTGTAGAGCTTTCGCTTATTGTAGACTTCCCTAGCATAGTCCCTGCCCTTCGGCGGACTTATAATGCACCGAGGATACAGAGGATCACCGGTCAATCAGAGCTTCACTCTGGCCGGTCTTCTAGTCACTGGCGAGGCATAGACTCGTCAGTCATTGCTCCCATGAATAGATCCTCTTCCTAGCGCCCGGAATGTAGTTACTCTAACAGCTGGTAGCTAACCACACTGCCGGTACTTGCATATCACCGTGCAACTGGCTTCTAACAATAGCTCTCAGCATGTAACCGGGCCCTGTGTGTACTCATACACCAGACAGTTGAAATGGCTCCGTTACAAGCCTTCCCTCATCAAGGGCTCGCTGTATTTCAGCAACAAAGTCCGGTGGAGTGGCCGGATTCGTCCGCTCAATCTCCATAGCATCAGCATCCAGTTCATCTCTTTCCGCATACCTCCGGAGTTCTTCCTGAACAGAGTTGACCTCCATCTTCATGTACTCGAGAGCTTCTGCCATAAGAGCATTCTGTGCTGCCTGGCGCTCTTGTATAAGGAGGAGTGCCTGACTGCCCCGGGTCAACTGATTCTGCAGGCTGTGTTGGAGGTAGGTCTGGAGCTCTGTGAAGAACTGCTGAAGGGAAACCTCGTCGGTATCCTGCCAGGCAGGTTCACAACCAGGAATATAGGTTTGTAGAGCGGTCCTGGGTTTCTTAACAAGCTGTGTCTGCCCGGTGGCATCAAGCTGGAGGGGCACCGGCTGCCATTCAATCTGAAGAGGTGCATCCGGAGCCGGGAGGGCGGACATTTTGTATAGAGGAAGAATAATCTGAAGGTGACTTGAGCCTTAAAGATTATCTGTAACGGGGGTCTCTTCAAAGAGAAATTGAATGAAGTAGAATAGAGACGGCCGTGCAAGATAGACAATCAGGTTGCAGATTATTCAAAGATACTATCGCTAGAACTCAATAATCTTTAAGGGCTCTGCTACCGATCAGAACTTGATATTTCCTTTTGATGAAGACTCGAGAGAACAGGACTGAAGGGCGAGAATGAACCTGAGTACTTATACTCCGAAGGCCTCTATTCTCTGCTCCTAACTCCTTACTAAGTTCCGGTGAAGTCTTTCCTCGGTGCCGGAAACAATACCACCGCTACCCCGCTTTTTCTCTAAGCGTCAGCAGGTGTTTCCGATACCCAAGGCAACCACCCTTAGTCAAAGCCTTTGTAACACCTGCAGCCTTGATTGCCACACAACCGAGGGCCTGCATGAATGAGCTGCCGCTCAGATGTAAGCTTAATCATCGCTGTAGAGCTTTCGCTTATTGTAGACTTCCCTAGCATAGTCCCTGCCCTTCGGCGGACTCATAATGCTTAGAGGATACAGAGGATCACCAGGCAATCAGAGCTTCACTCTGGCCGGTCCTCTAGTCACTGGCGAGGCATGGACTCGTGTAACGGAGCCATTTCAACTGTCTGGTGTATGAGTACACACAGGGCCCGGTTACATGCTGAGAGTTATTGTTAGAAGCCAGTTGCACGGTGATATGCAAGTACCGGCAGTGTGGTTAGCTACCAGCTGTTAGAGTAACTACATTCCGGGCGCTAGAAAGGGGATCTATTCATGGGAGCAATGACTGACGAGTCTATGCCTCGCCAGTGACTAGAAGACCGGCCAGAGTGAAGCTCTGATTGCCCGGTGATCCTCTGTATCCTCTAAAGCATTATGAGTCCGCCGAAGGGCAGAGACTATGCTAGGGAAGTCTACAATAAGCGAAAAGCTCTACAGCAATGATTAAGCTTACACCTGAGCGGCAGCTCATTCATGCAGGCCCTCGGTTGTGTGGCAACCAAGGCTGCAGGTGTTACAAAGGCTTTGACTAAGGGTGGTTGCCTTGGGTATCGGAAACACCTGCTGACGCTTAGAGAAAAGCGGGGTAGCGGTGGTATTGTTTCCGGCATCGAGGAAAGGCTTCACCAAAACTTAGTAAGGAGTTAGGAGCAGAGAATAGAGGCCTTCGGAGTATAAGTACTCAGGTTCATTCCCGCCCTTCAGTCCTGTTCTCCCCAGTCTTGATCAGAAAGAAAAACGAAGTTCTTATCGGTAGCAGAGCCCTTAAAGATTATTGAGTTCTAGCGATAGTATCTTTGAATAATCTGCAACCTGATTGTCTATCTTGCACGGCCGTCTCTATTCTATCCGATTCTATTTCTCTTAGAAAGGACCCCCGTTACACTCGTCAGTCATTGCTCCCATGAATAGATCCCCTTCCTAGCGCCCGGAATGTAGTTACTCTAACAGCTGGTAGCTAACCACACTGCCGGTACTTGCATATCACCGTGCAATTGGCTTCTAACAATAACTCTCAGCATGTAACCGGGCCCTGTGTGTACTCATACACCAGACAGTTGAAATGGCACCGTTACACTACGTTATCAACAAAGATTCACTAGAGTTAGCGGATGGTATTCGACCGTCTTCGACGTAATAGTTCAGGTAGAGTGCGAAGTCACGATAGAGTAAAGTATTTCAAATAGTATAGTCAAATAAAGTTGTAACTCGCGTATCAACGATTTATATTGTTAAGACTCTGATTTCGCCGATAATGGTTTGGCTAGTCAGTGAATGACACCGTATTTATATCCCTCGCGTATGTCTCGAGGACCCAATCTACTAATAATACAGAATACACTCGGGGCCTGCCCAAGACCCTGAAAAACAACCAAGAACATTTAACTCCTAAGTCCGTAACCCAAACTCCTAAGTCCGCTGAAACCCCTCAACCTATTTACCCATTCTAATGCACGTTTCCTTGTCGATGTTTCTTCTCCATCGGCCATCTGGTGGATAATCGTCAGCGTCGGCTACTCGTAGGTCTCGGACGGCAAGGCTACCTACTCGGGCCTCTTCCCACATCGCTTTCCCACATAGCAGAGTCCTCTCATGCCTACAGGTACCGCCAACAGGTACTCGGTCGGCTGGTAGCTTGAGCCGATTCGCTCCGGGTGGTCCGATCTTCGATCCGATTGATTCCAGCTGTCCCTCATATATCCACCGGTCCAAAAGCACTCCCCTCCGGCGGTTTGACGCTCCGGGGGTTATTATTGGGGTCGAAAACGTGTTTTTTATGACTCCGTGTTTTGGTCGTATATTGGTCGCACCACACCCCGTGGGTGCGGTCCAGAGTTGACATTAGCGTACAGAGGGTATTGGGGTATCTACTAGCCTTTCTCTCACTCCCGTAAATGCTTGGCATGCCCGTAACACTATCCTATTCTATTTCTCTTAGAAGAGACCCCCGTTACAAACAATAACTCTCAGTATACAACCGGGCCCTGTGTGTACTCATACATCAGACAGTTGGAATGGCTCCGTTACGTTTGGTTGAACAGATTTGCTGCCTGATATGGCAAGATAATAACTCTGTTTTCTTTATGACGTCTATTCATGATGTTCATGAAATAATTGCCAAACTACGCAGAAGCCCCAGAGAAAACAGCACAAAGTTGCAGTTGTTTACTCTGTATTTGGTGGTGATGCACGTAAAGTACTTTTGATTCCCATCTTTATCAATGATTACAATTACAATATGGGGGTGTCGACATTGCCGATCAATTAAGAAGCTATTATTCAACTCAACGCAAAGCACGACGCAACTGGTACCCCTAATTGTTTTGGCTGCTCGATACTACAGTTATTAATGCATATATTATTAAATGCACTAAAGAGAATGTCCCTAGCTTCAAAAGAAAGAGAACCGACAGCCACAAGCAGTTCCGAATCCAACTTGCCCGAAATTTAATTACCATTAGTTTCAAACAACACCTCGAGTTTACAGCAAAAGCAAAAACCGGAAAAGAAGGGAAAAGTGACCAGGATGCCTAGAAGCCACATATATACATATCCCGCAAAACTCAACAATACCCTACTAAAGTAACCTACCCGCCTCCATCCTCACATACCTTTCAGGACAGACCTACAAACGCGGGTTGCATTCTTTGCAGGTGGAATCACAAAGTCAATTCTGAAATAAAGATAAAGAAGGTTACATTTGGATGTAAAGAATGTAATGTAGCACTTTGTAAAAACCGTTTCAAAATATACCATAGTTAAACTGCATCGTTGGCTTCTCAATCCGATTTTTTATATCTTGATTTCTACCCGCATGTCTGTTTTTTGGGATACCTTCCTAAATAGGCTTAACCTCCCGCATATCAATTGAGCCTGACGGTCTAAGGGATAGCACCTCGTCAGCTGTTGATAACCTGTAAGTCTCGAATATGAATATCCAGGGTGGCAAGACACCATTGATTTTGGTAATAAATGAGATACTGACATAATGCAACCTTATACAAAAATATGAACTGGGATGTAATCACTCTTTTTTCCTGGAATTTGGCATAATTACCCATCCAACAATTTTCACAATTTAGGAGAATCAAAGACTATCAAAAGTAAGGCTCTATTTAGACGCACCCCGGTTTATTTTTCTTTTTTTTTCAATTCTGTAGAAAATTTCTAATAATAAGTGAAACGATAACATTTCCCGGAGTTGGGGGTTGAGTTCTAATGGCGACCGCGGTTGGTTTATCGCGACCGGCGCTATAGCAGAATAAGCTTGAACTTTGGCTTATGAAGGTGATTGACCGGACAGACCAGCCACGCTACTCAATCAGAGGGAGATAATTCCTGGCCGTGCTGTACTGTAGCGAATTTCTGACTTTCCGTTTCTGATCTAGAGCTCGAGTATATACAGCCTTTAAGCACGTTCCTAACGCTGCTAGCTTTTTTGTCCAACCTCCCCGGCTTTCTGTTCAGCTCGCATGCATTAAACTTCAATTATTCATAGATTATCACTCGGCTCTCTGTGGGCAGTTGAATACCTCCATAACTCGAGATTTTGGCTAGATCAAAATTACTTCTATGGGAAACTTCTGCAGATCGATGCTATTTAATAAATCACTCAAGTGATGATCCCTGGGCGTAGATAGCCAATTTTCAAATTTTAGCAGTAGTCCGATACGACATCCTTTGTCCTAAACTGTCACTTCACCCTTAAATTTCTGTCACGTAAACGGAGTCTATATATTCCTACCTAACTGATCCTGCGTCAATTCTTGATCTGTAAGATTATAGAGATCATTACTCGTCCTAACTATCTTACAGAAGGATTCTAGATCCGGTAGAGTTCGGTGAGAGAATTTAATCAATCCACCAATTCGTATAGAAATCTTACGGCATTTTGAGGCTGACGATCTACCTAAGGAATAGGGCGCGTCCCCAAACCGACAACCCAGGCCACGTTGCCTCGCAGCAACTTTTTGAGTTGGTTGTGGACGATTGGTATCATAACGTAGGTGGTATTCGGTGCTTTGAAAACGAGTTGTATTATTCCGGTAGTTGGGATGAGGGAGGTGTGTCCCTAAGGACTTGCAGAGTTCGTATTGGAAAAAGAACATTGTGTGTGACGTCAGAAGACGTAGAAAAGGAGAAGATGGCATGAGATGTATACGCACTATGGAGGAGGAACGGGAAATACGGTGTGATCATTCCTTTACTTCATGTGGTGCATATGGGGAACATCGATGACTCCTATTACCAATTCTCTAGCGTTCAACAGTACGTCCGTAATTGAAGAAAGTAAGGCTGTATTTGAGATAGAAAAGATTTCATTACCGCCACTAGCCTAATATAAGTTCTAAGACTACATCCTCGCCTGAGGTTTATCCTCCTACAGTAATCTTTTTGTCTTCAAGCGCTAAGCGTACTTGTAATATTACTCAATCCTCTTCTATTAGCCATAGACTCGATGAATACATTTAGTTGGCCTTTCGGTTAGTACTATGTAGTAGTATTTATCGAACCTTACTAATAGGTACTAGTACTGCTAGCGATTACGAGATCAAGGTGTTTCTACCTATCAGAGTCGGCTACAAAAAAGCGAAATCAGAAAAATAAGCCCACCAATATCTCTTACTCTTCTTTTTTTTCCATTCGTCATGTTAAATTTCTTACGAGCAGGACTATTTCCCTAGTAAAATAAGGGTATTGACCATTAATATGGCCATGGTGGGTAATCAATCATCAAATATCACTCGCACTCCTTCTTTAAGGTAATAATTATTGTTGTTAACTCATAGTCAACACAGCAGCAACAGTACGGGCTTAGGAGGTGTCGTTCATGATCCTGAACGGTCTCGGGGATTTGATCAGAGTTGGTCTATTAACAGATCCCTTATGCAAAGGTTAAATCTCTGATTATTAAGTCTATGGATTGTAAATAAGACCTTTCCCTGGTCTCTTCTCCAGCGGTGTCATAGATTACACTAGCTGTTCTCTGACGTAACCTCTGGCTTAAATAACTCTGGTTGTAAAGGTCAATGTCTGAACAATTTGGTTCTAACCTAACCCAGACTTTCGAAAAAAGGGTGGCTCGAGTCAGCTTCAATTGTCACATCTTGGGCCGGATATGTTCGGGCTAGGATTTTGAGCCCGGAACTCAAGCCAGCTCGGCTTTACCCAACAGTTCAAGTTGAAGTTGAAGTTGAAGCTGAGGCTGAGGTTCTGTGCAATCAACAGTCCAAAAAAGTCGCTATCATATTTTTCGCGTGAGACCCGCATGAATGGTAATGAAATTATTAGATTCCGGGCTGGAAGGTTTCGATGAGATTAGACCCTTCATGAATTTAGGTGTAAAAACACACCATAACGTCAACTATTCTTTACACGTAAAGTCGAGGTAAATATTTAGTAGATTTCAATTTAAACCTTTGTCTGTATAATCAAGCATAAAAACTTTCGAACTAAAGTCCGGATGATAAACGTCCCGTTTCCCATGCATAAATGTACTACTTGTCTTTTGCGTGATGTTTCAAGATCTAGAAGCGATCAACTAGCTCCTCGATTACCTTTCGCCCACTCTCTTAAAACATTCTTCTTTACCTTTCCCGTTGATGTCTTCGGTAATTCTGTCAATATCTCAACCTCCCTTGGAACCTATAAGTTTTCTTATTGTCAGCTGTCAGAAATGCAAGTGCGAGGATTCGTTATCTGACCATGAAGCCCGAGATTGTTGAGCTTTTCTTTGCCCAAAGAATGACATCCTCGCCCGTGAGTTGTGGATTTGTGGTAGTAATGAACGCTTTTGGACGTTCTCCAAAATGTGAATCTGGAACAGCAATGACCCCAACCTCTACGACATCTGGGTGACGGGCAAGCATTCCTTCTAGAGACACACTACTGATGTTTTCTCCCCCTAGTGATATATCAGATTTAGTAGAGGCACTTGTAATAAAAACCTTTGGATTCGATTACCTGAGATGATGATATCTTTTGCTCGGTCTAAGATTTGAATTGCACCATCTGGATGGCAAACAGCAAGATCGCCGGAGTGTAAGACACCACCCGCAAATAGCTTGGCCGTGGCTTCAGCGTCCTTATAGTAGCCTCGTGCGCATATATTTCCTTTCAAATTTCAGTAAACGTGAACCGGTTTTTAGACTAACTGGCTAGGAACATACCCGCGAATACTATCTCACCAATTTCAATCCCATCTTTTTTCACATCTATCACCTCTGTTATATCAGGCTTGATAACACGAACCATTTTACTGGTTACAAATCCGTGACCTGGTAATTAATAAGCATATCTTTCTTTTTAGATATAAAAGATAGAGGGAACGAACCCTGCCGAGCCATCTTTTTGTACATTTCCTCTGGTGATAGATCAAGCCACTCTGGAAGAAAATATCCTTTTGTAATAGGGCCATATCTGGAGCATTGGTATCAGCATCTCTTGGTATTAATCTTAACCACACCTTGACCATATTTATCGTATATGAACTTACGTTTCTGTCTATTAAAAAAAAGTTAATCTCTGATATAGTTGGGGAGCCATCGGGTTCACAGGGCTACATACCAAACCATAGACGTGAACTGGGATAAGATTCAATGAAATCATATCCTCAAAAAGCTTTGCTGATGGGGGAGACGCAGCTACCGTGACTCGGACTGCTCGTGGTAGCCGCTCTGCTTGAGGAGAACGGCAGAGCAGGGTATTAACTGTTGGCGCTGCATTGAAATGGGTGATGCCTTCAAACTTCAATAGCCGCCACATTTCCTCATAGTCGATTTTTCCTATTCATCACTTTAATTAATAATTCCTACCAAATAGAGGTCATTACTTACTCATGCAGTAGTGAGTTCCCCGGGCACTGACAACTGCCCATGGGAATGTCCAGCCCACGGCGTGGAAAAGTGGAAGGATTGTCAAGTACCTGTTTAATATTAAATGAGTAAGTTTAAAATCCTCAAGAATACTAGTGTTGTACATGGCACTGACTTTGCTCTATCCTTAGAAAGAACTGACGTGCAATTCAAACCGGACTCGATAACATTCGCAAGAGCAGCTAGGTATGCCCCTCTGTGAGTATACTCGACCCCCTTTGGCTTTGCAGTTGTCCCGCTTGTGTATGCTAACGCAAACACGTCGTCTTCACTCTCTGCCTCTAGATGCAATCCCTCCCAGCCACCTCTATGCTTCCTGTCATAATCTAACCCCTCCGATATTATACGATCAAAGTCTCCGCTTAGCTCGCCAACGGTTGCATCTGTATCATCATCAATAATTCTAGGGACCTTGTCATCAAAGCCTTCTAGCAGTCCCACAAACTCTCTATCAACAATAATGATATCGACTTCGGCGTGTTTAAAGATATACTGGACGTCTTCTTTTTTAAGACGGTAATTCACGCCCACTTGAACAGCACCTGCAGCAGCTATACCGAAAATACATTCCAGAAATGCAGGTGTATTGGGACAGAGAATTCCAACTATGCCGGAGTTAGAAGCTTCATGGCTTATGAAGCTTTACGTTGAATACATACCTCTTTTGTAACCATGAGTCTTAAGGTAATACCCGAGACCTCTGGCTCGATCAGCAAATTCCATGTATGACCGGCGGAGCACCTTTCCATTGGCAGTAACATGAATGATTGCTTCAACCTATTATTCACATTACTTATCTGATCTTTGGGAAAGTCCAGAACCACCAAGTACAAAGAAAGAAGTCACGTACGTCAGGTTCAATTGCTGCTGCTCGGGGTAGGAAGTATGTCGGTGAAAGCTCTGCTCTACTGTTTGATAGGTTGGTTTTCGGTGGTGATGTAGTTGAGGACCATAGGTGGCGCGATATACTTGCCAGACGGGACTGAGGCGAGGACATTGGAATTTAGCAATATTACGTTGGATATTCAGGATTAGGTGCTCGAGTTTTGTACGGTATCTTTGCTATGGGTTCAATTTGCGTATTATGTAGGTGCTCCAGCTCTCCTGCTTATCATGACCGTTCTCAGCCAGACTCGGCCCTCGGTCCGGCCAGGACCGGTTCAGGTATGCAGGTATTGCTACATGTATGTCTAAGTTGTAGTGAGTCCGGAGTTCACTGGCGGGGGCCTGCACCCTAGCCTGGCCAACCCGCAGCTTTATCAACTCGCGGCGATGGCCACGCGTGTTTAAAATGTGGGGAAGATAAGTCTGGGGCCAGGGTTTCCCGCAGTACGTAGAAGAGCTTACAAAAATTGGTCAGTGCGCTTGGAGCACGGGCTAGGGTTCCTGAGGAGCTCACTCATATGTCGTTATCTAGATCGCTTGCATTATGGGCACAGCAAAGCTGAACGTCAGAGAGCAGACACATATCTACACCTAGAAATGATCTGGTGACTAGAGTGTCATGTCAATAAGGAACCTAAGTGTCCTAATCGGTACATACATGTAACTACATGTAGTTGTAAGACATTCTGTAAAATGGCTACTCTACGAGGGAAAAATCTTCATCGCAAGCAATGGCGTGCGGCTGTTCCTCTTCCCTACAGTGATGAGAATATGGTTGTGAACACTTAAATATCAAATACATATACAGAAAGCTATAATATACTACTTGGTATGTAGTGAGGAGACTCCGGGTGCAACAATTGTATGAAGGGAATTAATGTTCAAACACCCATTATGTATGACACGTAAAGAGAAAATATAAAAATGGAAAAAGAAAAAAATGAACAAGAAGCAGGGTATTGGGGAAATAAGGTTAAATAAGCATGTAATAAGGTAACAATCAATGACACCCAGGCTTATGTAGAATCCAAAACCTGCTCCTACCACCCGCCTTGATAACAACTTCAAGACGGCCTTGGAAAACCAATGCAAAGGGTTGAACAAACCAAACAGCAACCCGATTCCCAGTATCTCAATAGCCGGGAATAAAAACAGATAGAAAAAGACAAGATAACGGGCAAGGCTGCCCCGGAACCAACACAAGCTTCCGAAATTCGTAAAAGTGACCCGGTTTAAACTTTTAAGTCATTCCGATCAACTAACATGATGGCCCCACGGCCAGCGGAATATGTGCTCATATCAACTTCACCAAACAATAAATCAGGGGAATGGGTTTTGTTGTCCCATACCCTACTCACAAAGCACTATGCAATCCTACACAATACCAACGGAAAAGCGAAGGGGATAGAACTTTAAAAGGAAATTAAAAGAAACTAACAGATGTCGTAGTTTACTTTCTTCCACGACACAAACACGCATGCAACTCTTGATAACCCACGACCTAATTCATAAAACCCACATGGACCCATACTAATCGTTGCGCCTCTTGGACTTCGACAAACTCCTGACTCGCTTTAAGAGTCCATTCTCGCTGCCTTTGTCCCCAGTGCCTACCCTGGCTGGTTTCTTTGGTGAGTTTGGCGCTCTCTCGCCTTTACTCTCTGCGATGGCCTCGCTCTTCTTGTCGTATGCGGTTTCATACTCCGTGAAAAAAGGATTGCGGTCATTTTTGCCTGCTGTTGCACTGACAGGGGTAGTGGGTGAGTACTTTGATTCCGTTGGCGATCTTCCTGGGGGAGGAGGGCGGCGGTGCCCAGAGCCGACGGGTCCGTCACTCATATTAGTTCTGTTTTGACTGATGGATCGAATCTTTTGTGCCAATGACTTCTTCCGCTGGAGACCCCCTCCACTACCACCATTTGAAGACCGAGGCCGGTCATCATTTGTTTCAGACATGGTCCGTTCCATTGCTATCTTTGATGCTGGTGCCCCATCTAAAAATGTTGAAGTACCTAGGCCAACAGTCTCATCTCCATGAATAGTTTCAGAAGCCTTGGGATCAAATGATGCAGTTCGAGTACCTGATGGGCGAACATCGAGCTTTCCCGAGGCTGAGTCGCGTCTTCCTGTACTCGTAAAGTCGTGGAAAGCTTCTGGGTCTCGATTCCCAAAGAGGTGAGAGTGGTCGGCTTTAAGACTAACCGGACCAAACCCAGAAAGCGCATTGTTTGCTGAATCGGCTGGGAAGGCATGCACAGGTGCAAGTTTATGGGTTTTCTTATTACGGTGGGGATTACATGCATCAAATGGACCATCGTGATGGAACACTAAGATTTGTTAGAATATCTAAGATAGAAAAGAAAGGACCTAACTCACATCCAGTGCCATAGATTCCAGTTACATCAAGTTTGTCAATAACATCTAGAGGCGAGCCCTTCTTTCTGTCCCTTCGTACACCCTCGTCTTTACCCTTAGATCGGGAGCCAGACCCTGAACCATTTTCAGCTTTCAGGCGTTGCTCTCGACGGCGCCGTTCGTTTCTTTCCCGCTCTTTCTCGGCATCATGAGCATCCATAACAGACGAATCTGAATTGCGTCTGGGCCGCCTTCTGGCATCGCGGTCGCGGTCGGATTCCCTGAGTCTATCTCCATTTGAAGGACGACCGCTTGGTGGGGGGCGACGGGGCTGTTGTCTCTGTTGTCCACTGTTTGAGGAGAATGTATCGATCGAGATCAATTGTGAGTTATCATCGGAAGATCGCGAATGATGGTGTTCGTATGGCGGTGGTGGTGGCGGTCGGGACCTTGAACCGTTTGACTGGTGACCACGGGGTGGGGGCATCCTGTTCCTGTCTTGGTCCATATTTTGGAAAGGATCTTGGGAGTGATCTGTAATAGTAAGATTCTCCTGTACCTAGAGTATTAGTAGTCTGTTCTCGCAACTACTATCAGCCGGAAGGATGGGGTGTATTTACAAAAAGCTCTGCTGCAGCGCCTAGAAGCTGTGGAGAAAGCTGAGGTCTTGTAGCGGAAGTTGCGTCAAAAGAGTTAGATTTATGAGCGCCAGGTCGGTCAGTTGGGAATGGATCAAGATCGTTATTGTCGTCAAATACGTCAAGAAAAGGATTTCTAGACTGTGGCCTGCCAGCAGAAGGGCCGAAAGAGAAAGGGTCGGTAACACCGGGAGAGGGGGTCGAAAGTCTTTGGCGAAATGGATTGTTGGTCCCTAGCTCCATGTTCATAGAGGGGCGGCGCTCTATCGACGTTTTAAACAAAAGATGAGAGACCATCGGTCAGCACACGGCCCTGTACGGAGAGGGGGAATGGTGGGTCAAGGGTTACGTATAGAACTCTATGATTCTTGATAGTGCGGCAGAAAATAACAGGATTCAGGAAAGAATAGATAACGAACCTGGGACAGGGGGCTGTACGAGCGACATGTTAGGATTGGGAGGAGCTGTCGGATGAGAAGGGGAGCACGATCGGGATGGCGAAAGACTGGTCGATCTCTAAGATATTGATTGCTTTATTGATTTCAGTGGAGTCGCGCAGGAGGTTGGAGGGATGGGACGCGGCAACGGTAGGCAGAGGAGCAGTGGTAATGGAAACGGTAGCAGTAACTGTAGCAGTAAGAGAAGAAGAGGAACAAGGACGGCGGTTGGCCGTTAGACACAGAGAAACTATGACGAGGGTGAAGGGACCCAGAGAATGTCGAACAGCCGGACGGGGGTTGGGCGAAGGGAGAGATGGGGGGGTAGGTTGAGAAAGGGTGGGAGGTTGTGATGGGTGGAGAGAAAGCAGCGAGGGGTGGGACACCTGATTGATAAATGAATAATAGGCAGGATGAGGGATTGTGGAAAGGGTGTGCTGTGGCGGTTGGATTGCCTCCTTTCCTTTCCTTTCCAATAGACAGATGTTATTATTAAGTATTGAATGTTAATGATCTCGGTCTGGTCTCAACAAATTTTGTTCGCCTGCTTGCCCTGAGTCTGTTTAAACTGTGTGTACAATCTTCTTGCTTTTTTGCCTCACCAGGATCAGCTTCCTAGGCAGCTTTCGATCTCTCACTTCGCACTTCAACTTGCAAGATGTAGATGGTGGTGATCTAAGGACTGTTTGTATTGTCTGTAGTGGAGTACTTGCTTGGGTTAAGTGGGGGAGGGAAAGGGGAACGGTTTCAAGGGCACCTGACAGACCCTGCCCAGAAAAATGAAAAACGAAATAGGTTGCTTGGGATTGTCCGGCCCTTACCGTTGCTAGTTGAAGCGCAAATTGAGGGGAGCTACCGAGGTTTCAGTGAAAGAGAGAGTGAACAGGCCTACTACGCTCCACAGGCGTTCTGAAGACCTTGAGAGATATGATGAGCTACCTGCTGTACATGTAGTAGCCAGTACTACTAGTATTTTTTCTTCCCTGCGGCACACACTCGTTCCTGGTTGAATCTAACAAGCTAAAGAACTAACAGGAATTGATCAGGGTCCATTAAACGCCCGGTTTGACAGCAAATATACAAATATGTAGATCGAGGAGCAAATTGAAAGGGGGTGGGTGGGTATGCTGTACTTGATGGCTGGTCACAAAAATACAAACTCTACTCTACTCCCCAGCTCTCTTCTCTCCAAGGTGCAAGTACATTCAATTCGGAGGTATGTGACGGTATGTCTCTTTTGTTCGCGAACCCAAACACCCTTAGATGTCAGGGGTGTTACCCGTGCACTGTGCGCAAGAGACTAAGCTCTATTCTTCAGTTGCTATCCTCCTTCCCCATGACGGTTCGCAAAAATGCGGTCGAAGAGATCATCATGGAGCTTTTCGGCATAGTGCCTCACACAAGACTAGCTAATTGTACATATGTACCTGTCCTCGTGGGATCTCACAGCCAGGCAAACAGTTGTTGTTGTTCCACCAATCCGCCGAGAACCAATACAAAGCTCGAAAAGACCACCGGCTGAAAAGTGCTTCCCCCGCAAAAAGGTGGCGCAGAATTTCATCATTCGGAACCATCACAGTGCGATCTGGCCCGAGTGCATTGCCCCAGCATCTGCTCGCGAGAAATATGACTTGTGGGTTAATATAGGTGCACATTCAGGTATCGGCACACATGTCCTAGAGTAATAGTATGTAGAATAGGTACCGCAGTGCTCAGTGACCAGGCTTGGAAGAAATACTACCATAACCTGCATGGTAGTGAGAGCTCTGTCCGTAAGGAAATCAATTTGTATCCAGAATTGGGTTTAATAACCTCTCAACAAGAGTGATTGTTACTGAGCCTCCTCCGAGCTGCTCATCTCATTCTTTGAAGTTTACTTCTATGGATGTAGGCACTATGTAGGTACAGTTACCGAAGAGTACCCACACGTTAGGATGCCAATCAAAACGTGCGTTCTATTTCCCCCTAATTTGCACTTTAGATTCGTTCCCGACTCCCGACCCCTTTGTGAATCTCAATCAAAAGTGCCTAGCACTCCCCCGTCAGTAAACGGCAAATATTTTTAGGGTCTCGAGGTTGTTGCAGTGTGTACCTACGGGTAACCTCAGCCTCGAACTTTGATCGAAGCCACTTAGATGTATTAATGTGGAGATATATATTTCGGTTGTTAGATAACGATTCCTCATCAACTCCTTTAACATTGACATCAACCCCGAAGTCAATAAAAGTTATAGTTATGATGTTTGTAAAGTCAAGTCACGTGGTTCTGCGCACGTAGTACAGAAGTTGATCTTATCAGATCCTCGATACCGCGTGCTTGGGTGGTTGGTTGATGATAAATTGTAGGGAGGGGTGTAGGGCTAACCCCTCGCAACAGCAGTCTCCCATGACGAAAGTTGTTTTTCACGAACACTGGTAAATTAGATTTTTTTACAAGAAAAAACTGATCACCAGGATTGAGTTTGGAAGCAAAATCTCGTTTAGGCCTAAATTGCCTACCCAAAAATTCAATTACGCAGGTTTACTGACCCTGATTGGTTTGTCACTTCCCCCCGCCAAAAGTTTCTGTGGCCTTCAACTTGCAGCGTCGTCACCGATTGTTTCTGCCCCCCCACCCAGAAAATTATTTCCCCTCCTCCAACCTCTCTCCCTTCTCCCATCTCCTTTTCTCTCACTCTTTGAGTGAACCCACAAACTTCAACTATCCCCATCGAAATCTCCAATTAGTCCGTCTTCTAAAGACAGAAGGAGAAAGCAGGCACCATGTCTGCCTCCGTTGCTTCTCAGGTTCGCCTTCTCTTCCATTGTTTTTTTTGGCTATTCATCGCAACTAACCTTGCCATTTTGTCAAAGAACCCGTACGACCTCCTTGGTATGTCTCATTACTACGCATCTCCATACCCCCTCCTACTCTTTGTAAACACCTAAGGCGAAGAATAAACATTTTTGACATTGCCCGAAACTACCCCGCTTCTATACATTTTTATTATATATATTTGCTTATTCTCCTACTTTGAACTACAGGAAACGACATCGAGGATCCCGATGCTCCACCTCCACCTGCTCCAAGGCAGGTGATCAAGAACACCACTACCTCTAAGAAAAGAGATGAGAAGCCTGCCCCGGCTGTGGCTCCCGTAGCCAGTGGCTCCAGAGCTGGTGGCTATAAGGGACGAGGCCGTGGTGGAAACGACGGAGGTTAGTACGATCCCACAGGGAATTGATTCCATCTAGAGGCATTCTTTATCTTATTTGGTCACTTCTTACCATAGCTTCATAATTCTAACATCCTGATTTTACTTAAGCATTCCGTGATCGTGAGGCTGGACGCCAGAACAATCTCGCCAAGAACACTGATGAGGACAACACCGCTCCCCAGGGCGGTGCCCGTGGACGTGGTGGACGTCGCCAGTATGATCGTCACAGCCAGACTGGCAGAGTGTATGTTCTCTGGAAATTTTCTAAATTATGCTTTTACAGTCATTGACCCTGATTTCTTGATTCGCAGTGACACCGAGAAGCAAGTAGGCCAGGGATGGGGTGCCAACAAGGGCACAAAGGAATGGGACGACGAGCTTGCTGGTGCTGAACTTGCCCAGAAGGATGCTGCTGGTGCCGATTCCGCCGACCCCAACGCTATCCCCGCCTCCGAGGATCCCGCCGCTGCCGAGGGTGGGGCTACTGCTGAGGTCCCTGAAGAGGTCGAAGAGGTTCACAAGACCTATGACGAGTACCTTGCGGAGCTTGCTCAGCGTCAAGCCGACCTTGGCCCCCCTACCGAAGTTCGCCGTCCCAACGAGGGTGGCAACGACAAAAAGTGGGCTGCCGCCAAGGAGTTGTCTCGCGAGGAGGGTGCCTACTTTGTTGGCGAATCCAGGGACAAGACAAGGAACCGGGAGCGCAAGACTAAGCAGATTCTCGACATCGAGCCTCGTTATGTCGAGCCCAGGGATGCCGGACGTGGTGGACCTCGTGGTGGCCGTGGACGCGGTGGTGATAGGGGCGGTCGTGGTCGTGGCGAGAGAGGCCCCCGTGGTGACCGTGACGGTGACCGTCGCGGTGACTACCGTGGTGGAAAGAGCAGCACTGGCACCCCTAACCTTGACGATACCAGTGATTTCCCAAGCTTGGGAGCTTAGGCTCACCCCACCAAACTGTCCTGCAAAAGGTCGGAACATATTAGTATGAATCAATAGCATACCAAGATGAAATCAATTTTCTTTTTTTTTGTGAAAATTCAATTCTTTGGTTGTTTCTTTCTTTTTTCTTTAGGGTGGAAATCTTGAGTTTTAAGGGTATTGGGGAAAAGTTGAATAAAAGTCAATTTCAAGAGCCTCCACTTTGACTTACGCTTTGTCATCGATTGGATGGATCTAGGACAGGTATCATACCTTTTGCACCATAATGCGGGGTCTCCCGCTCCAGCACATGTAGCCTATTACTCTATATTAGTGTACAGGGATATAACCCGAAAAACTTGGTTTCCTCTAGTCAATCGTCTCTGCTGCACTTGCACTTTGGTATAACTCAGTGGCTATTTTGTGAGATCCACAATCAGCTGCAACATTATTGAATTGGATCTGCATTCCCTTGAGAATTACACGCTGAGTGTCGCAGAGGATTCTTTTAGGGTGACCAGGCAAAATTTGGTTAGTGGGAGTTATCGCTTGCCTCGGCCTGGTCTCCAAAACCCGTTTCTCCTTGATCTGTTTTGATGCGAATTTGTAATGTCTATTGGTACTCGAGTTGAGATGCAAGATTAAAGAATTAGTCATAGAATATCACTCGGCGATGTTCTTCTGAGGTGCAATGCTGACTCCATTGGACGATTGATTGGTTTATTGATTCATTTTGGATGTTAATTCCGTTTTTATAACGGATAGTGGAAGCCTTCCCGTGGATATTCTGAAGGTGTTCAAACTTGAAGCCTTGAAGATAAATTACAGATCTTGCATAGAAACGGCTCACAACAACTCTGTAGACACACCCTGGAGGGATCTACAGACCACATTTGAACGCCTACAAACCTTCAAAAATATCCACGTGATGGCTTCCAGTGATGATTCATTTCTGTTCGATGCATACGTGTACTCATATAGAGCCGATAATCTTATGACCTCCGTCATCACCTATGTTACAATCGATTCGAGATCGAGATCAAGTCTAAGTATGTAATAACAGATGTCGAAGGTGCTCTCTGGGCTGCGGAGTAGTTTCCGCTCGACAACATACATAGGATGTGTTTCCAGCTTCTAACGTTCAGTTACTATACGTACTTGGTACATGTATGTACATAAGTTCCTCGGTTTCTAGAACCCCAGCAATAAAAAGAACAGGGCGTACCACTATCCCATTATCAAAACTGCAAGAATAAGGACAACAGCGTGTGTCTGCAGCTTTGCATTCCCATAATAAAGAGCTAAAGTTTTGTCACCACACAATGAAGACCCACCAGGTAGTCAAAAGGATCAACATATATACATGTAGGTCCTACAAATACAGACACAGGATATTTTGCTCTTCGCCGCCTCGCTGAAACAAATCTGGAGTAACTACATGTAATTACCAGTGATACGCACGCAACAAAAAAAAAAAGAAAAACAGGATAAGAAAAAAACGCCTTCGCGATAAAACATACACAACGATAAAACAAAAAAGGACGCCAGTAAAATCTACGTATCTAAAATACCCCTATATCTAACTAACCTCCTAACTCGGATATACGAAATAAATAAAACCCGATACCCTTCTCCCCAACTGGAGAATAGGGTTTAAATAAGAACATACAGCGCACTGATCTATATCTTACAGTTAGTAAAGTTCTCAAGGTCCAAACGAGCAAGTATAATGTATGGGTTACTTACCATAGCAAGTCCCCAAATCATACTACACCAAAACATGATATTATTCAGTGTATGCCAACTCTGCATGAACTTCGTCCTCTGGACCGCGATAATCGGCAATTGCAGCATCTGGCACACAAACCCATACCCCCTCAACTTTTTCGTAATACAGAATAGCACCAGTTCATGTGCCGCCGCACTGATCAGGAACGTCACCAGCGTGGCCACACTTCTCGACATATGTCTTCGTGATGCACCATACACATGGCGTTGCAGGAACCTGTGCACTGGAATATTCCATTCCCTTGAGAATTCAAGCCAGTTCGTCGAGTTCCACCAGTCGGCATAGAAGTGGCGGTCAGCGAAGCATGTGATCTCCGCAAAGGCGCCAAGTACATACTCGAAGATGACGAGGAAAACGAGGAGGAAGGTGATCATGTACGGGAACAGGAGGAGACTAATACTCTCGAGTAAGACGAGCCCGATCTCGGCCCAGGACTGGACGCTCTCGAGGCGGAGGGCCGCTTCAGTCATGACAGGGAGGATGAATTCTTCAGAGGTTACGGTAAGGACAAAGACGCAGCCAAAGACAGCAGCGGCCTTCTCTGCTACCTTTACCCAGCGGATATGGTCAACTCGGGGATAGCTCATCTCGTAGCAGAGCGTTGGGCAGAGGAGGTAGTCCAGAAAGTTGGGGAGAGTTAGGTTTTGCGGGTATGTGACCTTTCCTGCAGGGCAAGTAAGTTCGAAGGCCAGCTTTTCGCGGAGCTCGGCATCGGCCTCCGACTCAACTGTTGTATTGTTGGAGTCGAGGGACTTGAGCTGTTTGTGGCAATCCGAGAGATGGCCGCAGTAGAACGAATAAGAGTGAATCTAGAGAGATGAGTTGATGCCATTGACCTAAGAGAAGGAAGATAAAGGTACCTTCATGAGTAAAGTAAGAGCATGGAGTGTAAAAAACACTTGATGAGTCCTGTCGTATCCGCCATGAGTTGTGTCGCCCTTCAAGCATCACCACCCCCTCCGGGAATTGAACTCACCACTGCCACTCGAGATAAAACGGCAAATACACCCAGATACCTAACCAAATACTCTGTATCAAATGCTGCAATAGATGCCCCTCCTTCTCCCAACTAACAAAGTTCCTGGCAAACATCTTCTGCAATGGCAAGCAGATAACCGTACTACACGCCATCGCCAAATCAGCGAACGCCAGCTCTGCCGGCGCCGCATAAAACAAGCTGAATATACTTGTCCTTAGGACCTTGCCTGTGTCTCTATAATTCCGCAACGCTGTATTTAACACCATGATGAATATACCGATCCAAAACAGGGCAAAGAAGCCCCTAAAGTCGTGATATTGGCTCTGTGGGTCGAAATGGGATACGCGCGACTCGTAGGCGACCGTCGGGAACATTCGTCGCCGTTTTTCGCGGCGGGCATGTTGAATTGAGTGGGCGGATGGAGGTGCATCTTCGGGGACGGGTGTGCTACGGCCACTATATTCATCAATCATTCATGTGAGAAACAGCCTCATCTTGATATCTGGACTTGCAGACAGGCCGAAGCTAGCTAACCTGGAGATGGAGGACGTGTTATCGCTCTCGATTCGGGCCGCCTTTAGATGTCCATTCCCCTCTGAGGGCGTAGGGAGGGGGTTAAATGGTGGCCTTGGCCTAATCTCGCTGGCATGGCCGTTTAGCTGCTTCCCCGAGGATGAAGCTGTTGTCGTAGCAAGTATTGTCATGGCTGTAGAGTTTTTGGTAACTAGGAGTCGAAGCAAGGCAAGAACTCAACGTGTCTAGTTTAAGGGTTCAAAGGGGGTGGACAAAGGGAAAAGGGTCTTTTATGTATGTCCCTCCCTGATGCGGGGAGGCGTTTTTAGGGTAAATCTTTTTTTTTTTGCAGATGGCAACAATTCTCGACGCACGAGCACAGGAAGGGCGTTTCTCTGTCTCACCACTGACTTACTGAAAGTCACTCTCCCACTTACCCTTACCTACTCTCGTGTGATCTATTTAAAAGTCCACCACCGACCGAGAACTGTCCTGTATCTGCCATCTACATATGTCTAAGATACACACATACAGATATGAAAGGGGTTCATGTTCAAAACCTCAAACCAATGGCATTTCCCGGATCTGAGAGTCCGGGTACTATGAGGCTCTGACGTATGTAACCCTGCTACCGAGACGGGATTTGCCGCCACCTACATGAATTTATTCGTTTGCTTCCCTTTCTTGAGAAGGATTTTCTTCGGATGAGGGATAGCTCCGAGCCCCGCCTGTCGTGGCGAGCCCGGAAGCTTCTTCGTCTGATGTTGAGTCGAGTGATCGCGGGTGCTACAGGCAGTGGAGCAGTAGGTGCTAGTACTCTAGGGACTCTACTTAGAGCAGTTAGTGGTACATGGCCGGTTATTAGTAGAGTAACGATGGTACCCATTTAAGTGGTGGCTACGGTGGTCGGACACGCTCAGATCAGGGTGTTAATATGTGGATATATTTAGAGCAGTCAATTTTACTGAGCTGAATCTGAGGGTAGGAATGGAGATTGTTATTAGGATGCAATATATTTATTACGCGTTGCCATAATACCGGTTATTCGCAGATGTACCAGTAGGCAGAGTGAAAAGGAGATGAGAATGTCCGGTCGGTCGGAATCACCGTGGGTAGAGTACATAAGGCAAACAACATCGCTTGGCATCTCGGCTCACGTCAATCGTGCATGTGCACTTAGGCATCCTTGCCACGAGGCACGAAACAAGATCTGATTACTGGGGTGAGTGGCTCGTGAACGTGAAATCGCACACGGCTGATGCTGATGCTCTGTGATGATAATATCAAAGTATGCCACAAGCAGCCAACGACCTTCAAGAATCACTACATGGTCTAGAGATAGACAAGTACGTATCTTACATCGCCTATTTACTAGAGCTCACAATAACCTGAATCAAGTCAGGATACGGGCCGGGGGAGCATCAAACCGGCATCCCCGATCATTGCAGTATCTCTCCTCACTGTCCCCACCCCTCCCGACTCGCCGAGCCTCTCACCCACAGATGATGCATATTCAGAGCACTCTCATCCACCAGATTACTTTCAGGAATCGCTCATCGCAACATCATGCACTGCCCTTGATATCGCCCTCCGTGGTGGCTTCCCATATCGGCGCATAACCTCACTCTCTAGCGCCCACAACGTAGAGCGGTCATTGCTCGCAATGCATACAGTAGCTTCACATTTGATTGAAAGGCCACATGCGCACGCTGTGTGGGTTGACACTGAGGGTTTGTTCTCTGCTGTAAAGTTGGGAGAGGTTATTGCGGGTAAATTAGAGGATGCAGGGGAAACCGGAAAAGAAATAACGATAGGCAGCGTGTTGGACCGCGTAACGATCTATAGGGTCGTGGATATGCATGAACTACTCGAAGTGCTAAAGGAAGTCAAAAGTGAGATACAGGATGAAGCCAAGGTAGGAGTAGAGATGACAGAGGTGGAGATGCGGTTGAGTGAAGTAGAGAGGGTAGTCGATGATAGCCAGGGTAATAAAGATGACGAGGGGCTTCCCCAAGAAGAGTTGGAAGAAAAAGTCATCCAAGACAGCCAGGAAGAAGAAGAAGAAGAAGAAGAAGATTGGGACGATGACGAAGATCAGAGGAAAGAGGAAGAGGTCAAACTGCAAAAGGCGGCAGTGAAGGAACAAGAAAAACCATCAAGCCCTCAGCAAACAATAGGAGTAATAGTAGTCGATACAATCACCCACCTCCTTCCAGACCTAAAATTTACGCCTCGCATCAACCTCCGCGGCTATCAGAAGGACACTTACGGAGGAGAGGATAAGTGGCACCAGTCCGAGAAACCTGAGGGTAGGTCCAACTATTTGCAATTAGTTCCTATTATCTATAGCACGCCACTAACTATCCTTCAGCTGCGGCGTTATTTGTGGACTTCTCCCGCGCGTTCAATCTATTCGCGAATGCCACAAAGACATGTCTTTTACTGCTGAACGATGTAACCTCTGTCCCGTATGATGAGGACGTTTATGTCCGCGGCCATGAGCTGCCACCGAGTAGATTTCATTTTCACACCGGGGTTAAGCCTGCACTGGGACCAGTCTATGCGGAATACGTAGATTTGTCGATTCTACTGTTCAAGCAGCCCCAAGATGTTAGCGTGGAACCTGGAAGCGTAAAATTGCAGGGAGACGGGGAAGAGAGAGAAGGAGGGGAGATTTGGGTGGCTGAGGTGTTGAACGATAGGCACGGAGATAGTAGTGGGCGGAGAGGTATATTCGGAATATTAGGAGATGTTAGACTTGTCGATATTTAGGGTTCATTGACAAGTAAATTAAATGTCTTTTCAGAGAGACAAGCTTCAGATCCGGATTTTGCAGGGGTTTATGATTACAGATGGGGAGAAGCATATCCGTAGGTCTAGGAGATCAAGTATAACTATTGACCATCAGATGCCGCTTCCGTGTTGTTGCTCATAGCCCATAACGCTCGCAAGCTCGTAAAATCACATCCACACCAACTATCACTCCATCACATCCCATCACTCGACCCCACCACCCCACCACCCCACGTGACCGTCTCGCGGCCAAGCCAGGCGGCTCAAATTTTCCCTCGTTTCACGTCTGTTTCTCCCACCAAAACCACCAGCTCCCATCCAGAGACGCTCCCACGACCTCCAATGCCACGCCCACCCTCGCTATCACTTGCAATATGCCTCCGCTGCCAATTCCGCTACTCCCTCCCGCGCCCGAAGCTCCTTCCCCGGCCGCTCCTGCGCCTAACTAACACCCCACGGGCCAGCACCCTCATGACAACCACCCCTCGTCATTACGCCGCCCCCCGAGAATTGATCGTGCTGACGCCGCCCGCGCCCTGGAAACCGCTCAACCGCCCGCGCAAGGCCGAGGTCCTCGATGACACCAATCTCGAGAGCGGCGCGCGCAACCTCCTTACGTTTGAGCACCCTGGCGGTGTGCTCGATGCAACGCAGATGGAGATCTCGCTGTACAGGCCCGAAAGGTTGCGTGTGTCGCGCGAGCGGTATAACCAGATGGTTGAAGAGCTTGACAATGCGTTCCTGCGGCTGCAGTTGTGGGAGTACTACAGCGAGTTTGTGAGCAGAACTCCGGAGAAGGCGATTGTACCGCTGCGCAAGACGGCGAAGAAGTCGCAGGTGCTCAACACGATTTTGAGGAATCTGTGGGGTATTGAGGTGACTGATGAGATTGCGGAGAGGGAGGACGTGCTCATCACCAGAGAGATCACGAGCAGGAGGAGGGACCTGTTCTTCATGGTCGGGGAAGGTACGGCGCTGGTTACTTTTTTGATACTTTTTAGTTTTGAGATGGGGGCGTGGGATGGGATGGGTATGGCATTTTGAGGTTGGCTAATATGATCGTGCGGCGGAGATATACAGATGGACATGTTCTCAGGACCTGGGCCCAGAAGTTCATGACCAGGATCACGGTCAATGTTGCGAAGTCAACAATACAGTTCCGCGGTTCACTGGCCAACATTGAGCGCCTGTCATTCGCCATGGACGAGATGCTCAAGACGATCATTACCGAAGATATCGACCTCTCATGGACGTCAAAATACGGCAACTTTACAGAGGACTACGTTACGCCAATTGCGAGACTTACTAATACTTTTATCGAGAAAGTCGACGAAACCACCGTATGCTATCCTCCGTAGCTCTGTGCAGCGTGGTGTACTAATAATAAATCAGATACGGGTTATGGCACTTGGGCCCGAAAGGCATGCAATTGATGATGCGCGCCGACTACTCTACTCCGCTCTAAACATGCAGATCCGGTCAAACTACTCTCTATTGTACAATTCCCATAGCGATCAAGAGAGCCCCAAGGGCGCTCTATATAAATTTTCGGAGGATCCTTCATTACCATGGGTATTCAGAGGCCGAGATTGGGCCCGCTGGAGAATCGTCAGGACCAAGCCAAACCCGGCCGCACAGGAGGCGGAGCCTAACCCCGACGAGGCGGAGCGAGGCACCATCAAGATGAAGGGAGAGCGGAGCTTAGGCCCACTCGAAAATATCCGGCAGATCCTCGATCAAAGCCCCATTGCGGAAGTCGCAATCGGCGAGCGCCCACCAGCAGAATACCAGGCAATTCTAGGCTGCATTCTCCACGACTCAGAAGGAAACTCCGTACCACAATCTCCCCAGACCCTCGAGGAATTCATCAAAGACGAGCGCCCCCGTGTTCTCTCCAACGAGTTTCCAGGTGTCTCCTTCATTGCACAAGCACCTGTAAGCAGAAAGGACCCGATGTGCGCCTACAGAGACGACTCGGCAAAACTCTTAGATGAGGATATTGCCTACTCCTTCTCAGTCCGATTCGCGGCGTCGCCCTGGTCACTTCCGGCGACATTTGATCAGTACCCCATCCTTGAACTGACACTCCCAATCGATAGATACACTGGCAATATCTTACAACCTACACTAATCGCCCGTCACTCAGAATCAGTAGCAGACATGCTCATGCCGAACCGACAATGTGACCTCCGCTTCCTCCGCCATGTGGACGTCCCACTGGCAATGGGTACTGGGGATGAACATACCGTCGGTGGTGTCACCGTTGAGGAGCTAGAACGTTTCAAAGAGAACAGTAACCTGGACCTGAGCGGGAAATCGAAGCTGCGAGTGGTCCCGACGCTTAAGGCATCGGTGCCACAATGGATGATGCAGCATATGCCCGATCTACCAACTACAGATGTGGATTACCTATTCGTGGGCATGGAATTTAGAAGAGAGCTAAACTTCGACTGGCATGGGCTGCAGCTGAGGCACACCGTCATTGAGGGCGGAGCAAGCGGTGGAAAGAGGACAGAGGTGAAGCTGATCTGCAATGGTCCTCTTGAAACTGAAGGAGTTCTGGAAGTCAAGACAGATGAGGAGATTCTGCAGACACAGGAGGAGGTGGAGAAGAATATGGAGCGCGAAGTTGAGGTCAAGGAGCTAGTGGCCGAAAAGGCAAAATGGGAAGAGGAGGAAATTGGTTCTAATGAAGAGGTAGTACCAGAAGGTAATGAGGTTGGCCTAGCAGCAGAGGTAGCGGAGCTGGATGGCCAGGCAGAGGAGGCGGAAACGGAGATTTCGCGGACATCTACAGAAGTTCCGGATTCGTCGTTTGCAGAGTTTGTGAAGGGCACCATGTCGTTGGTGAAGTCACTTGAGTCCCGGATCACACGGAGTACAAGGGACGGAAAAGGCATTTTACGATGAAGGGTCGACATAGGGCCAACAGTGGGATGTTGGGACATTTCAATTGTATATATTTCAAGCCTTGGAGTCTGGTCGACACCACATAAAAACAATACAGGAAAAGAAAAAGGTTGGGTTGGGAGGCTAAAAGTTTTTTAAAAGCAAGGGAGTGGAGGGAACAGTTGATAGACATAGAGTGTAGAAGTTTCAAAAACTCCACTTTGATAAGCTCTAAGGTAATGATCGTGGCTGCCCGAGTCACCGCAGAGCAAACATAAACACACACCTACATGTACTGGGGATTACGTGACACACAACAGCAACCAGCTGCGCACGCGGGAGTGAAAATAACTTAATTCCAGCATCAAAACTTAATCGAAAACACCGCTCTACGCATTACTCACCCCATTACACAAATGCCAGCAGAAAGCAGCAGTAAAAATACAGATTACAGAGCAATCAAACGTCCGGGAAAGAGCAATCAGCAATCAAGAAGCACTTCAGTCCCAAACCAACCGCTCCTGCTCACCCTTGGATTTTGCCAGGTCCTGTATATGTTGGTTCTGCGTCTTCCTCTTCACCTGATCCAGTTGCGCACCAAGCTTACCGCCCTTCTGCGCGTCATTAAGCCGTTTCTATAAACGTTAGTTCAGTACCTGGTACTGCGCATGGTATAATATCATACCTCTGCGGCTAATGCCGCCGCCGTCCTAGCATCTGGCGGGGGAGAAGCTGCTGAGCCCGACGACTGCTCACTATTTACACTAGCATCCCCCAGTGTTCTGCCTGGTCCCGTTACTTTCGGTTTGCGTGGGTTCTTTGGCCTCGACGCTGCGGCGGGCGTGTGTGCATTTGTACTGGACAAAGTAGCCGGTGCGGAGCCCAGTACACGACCTGGGGGAGCTGTGGAGGTGCTCGTTTCTTTGCCGCAGAGGTTGCCCATCTCTAACTAGCTGGTTAGTATGTGACTTAAGTATAGAGAAACAGTGAAGCTTCGGTGGATCGAATATACATACCTAATGACTAACGACCGTGAATGAGTGGAAGTAGAGCTCCAGATGGGTTCAGAGCCGCGTGTTCCAATACCAAGCAGCAGGCCAATCGGCTGTTGTAGTTGTCGTTGTCGCCAAGTCGCACCCCCAAGCCTACTGCTCGACATGGAAATACTACATGGAGTATCTACGAACCAGGCGACTCCAGCAAGATCAACGGTTGTCTGTATCACGCACGGCAAATACGGATTGTATCACAATGTAGAGTAGGTACAATCAGTACCGTGTCTACAGTAATACCAGGCATAGTTAAATCTTACCTGTATATGCAATCCAGGGGTTTCCAAAACTTTATCTGATCCCATATGCATGCAACGGGCAATACCTACTCTCTCCACTGTATGTACATAATCAATGCGCTCAAACACCAACTTGCGTAATTCCCATTATGAGTGGTTACTCGACTCTTGAGATTGTACCCATGAAACCAACCCCACAAAGCGGGGGGACCTTTTTGACCTGCAGCTAAATAGTTAAATTTGTGAGGATGGGTGGTGTGCCAGTGACAGCGGAGTGCAGTTTTCCCCCAAAGACGAATTATTCTATTCTAGAGTTCTCTATCTAGCTACGGACCAGATTTGGATGTGGTCTTGACATGAGTGCGGCGTAACGGCATAACATACGTAAATTCATGACGTTTCTGAACACGACTGCTATTGCATACCATACAAAAAAGCGCCAAATCCACCTTTTTGTATGTCATGTAATATTGGTCGTGTTCGGAAACGCCATGAAATTACGAGCACCCAAAGAAGACAACCACTGGCCTTTTATTTTTAGGCACTTCTATGCCAGTAGGCCAACCAGTCGGCTTGTGCTTTGCTTTTGGCAGGTTGTCTCGTGGGATCATTGGCCCTGTCCGCATCATCAAAAAGCTCAAGCCAGGAGTTGAAGTTTTAAATCTCAAGCAACCTTTTTAGGAAAATATAACCTAGGTACATGATTGACGTATTGCGTAATCAGGCCATCAGGCCCAGGAACAGCTGACTATAGTTAGGAAAACATATCACAAGCTGGCTCGAGTCAAGCCGACCTCCTGCTTGTAAGAGCACAAGTTATGAGCTCGAGATGCCTCAAGCCGACAACTACGTAGGCCTACTTACACGTTTGTTTGTTGGCAACCTTAGGGCCATAACTGCGTCATATATTGAAGCATCAGGAGGATTGGGTCCAATCAGACTGTGTACACATGCCTTGTAAACAATGGGCGAATGCGCAAGGCGTTTTGTATAAACTGAAAGGAAAAGATAAATCAAATTCCAAAAGAAGAGAAAAGAAAAAAAAAAACGCCAGCAAATCCTGCTTCCAGTCCGGAAACCCCCACCATCAACCTGCAAAAGGAATGCAAGGGAACAAAAACACTCAAAATGGTAGAAACATAGTACAACCCACCCAGTATAGTCATGGGGGAGGAAGGGGTGGGAGCGGTGGGTGGCGTTACTGATACATGACAGAGCACACCATCCACAATAATCCAAGCTTCTAACTTCTGAAATGAAATTCGTTAAATTCCTGAAGAGATAACTGATAATGGGACATATAAAAGAAGCGGTGATAAGTGCACTGATGGAGTAAATCAGGTATAATCAACGGAACTCGTAAGTAGGAAACAAGCGTTTTTGAGGTCTAAGATTAAGCTCTTGATAGGGCTGGCTTTTGGGATCGTAGTAAAACCCTTGTATCTGTCCGTTTGATCTGCGGAGCGACAGGAAATAAAAACCCCCTATTGTTAGTACCCCACTGTCAGGAGAGGTTTGTGGCGAGATGAAACATTTTTCTGCAGGTGGCAACGCCATGAATAGTAAGCTCGGCCATATAAAATCTTGATAAATGTTGTTTGATATAGGAAAGATAAGGGAAAAAGAAAAGGAGGACAGAGATCACGATCAACATGAGCCCAAGAGTTTCAAATATCTCACCTTTCCACCTCATGAACACCCAATTATCTGTGAGATTCTTCATGAACTGCTTAGAAACCAAACTCTTCACGAGCTCTTCATTGCTTAATTGGCAGAATGGCTCTAATTTTCTCCAGTTGCTTGCGTCATCCTTGATGCTACTCGGAAAGTTAAAGGTTTGCAAACTATGCGTCTTGAAATCAATAATTTCACCCTCTAGGTACGTCGTAATGCTTGTCTTTGTTGCAGCACCAGTTGTTTGAAAGTCTGTGAATGCTTCCATAGTCCCAGCTGTAATCATCATGAAAATAATTATCCCATGGTTAGATTATAGTAACGTTCCTTTTTGGAAAGTGGTATTTGCTTACTCAGACGTAGCTGCGCGTAATCTATGCTAGATATGATCACTTTGACTGTCCAGTGGTGTGGACTACTATTACTATAATACGATGATGCGCTACCAGATTCCCTGTGGGGATCATCTTGATAAGATATTGCGGCAGCAGTTGTATTCGATGGCAAAGATGCCGAAGACGAATCCGAAGATATGGTGGGACGTGAGGGGGGCACAGCAGAAATTATCGGGGTTGTTTGGGAGCCCCAAAATACACCACCAACTTTAAGCCACGAGGTTTCGGCAACATTTATGAATTGGGTGTCCAGTAAGAGATCGTCATACATGGATTTATCTCTAATAATCTCAAGCCAGTCATCGCCACGGCTGAAGAAGCCTGCTTTGACGGCAAGACACAAACTTTCATCACTGCTGTTACTGAATCGAAGTTTTGCCAGATACCCAATAGCTTCCTCAAGTTCGTAGGAGGACGAGGGGGCTGTACTTTGATCCCTGTAATTTTCGTCTCGAGTCCTAAACGGGCGAGAGCGGAGCGCTACCTCAGCATCTCTCTCGGAGCGGGAGCGGGATAGGTCCTCCCTTCGTTCTCGCACATGTTCCCTATCCCAATTCCAGCCATGCCATGGGGGCCGTGAGCGCAATAGAAGACGTGAATTCTGCCTTTGTGGTTGCGTGAGAGTTCTGAATGGTGAAAGTACTTGAGGACCAAATAAAGTTTCATACATTCGGACATCATTATCGAGATTTCGGTATGCCCGAGTGAGCGGTCCGGGAACTGCAGAAGGCGGCGGACTGTCGGCCCGGTATCTCAAAAGATCTCTCAGCATCTCATCGTGTGGTTCTCCTCCATCAATCATGGGGGGAAGCGGGAGCGAGCGGTTCTCATATTCATCCTCTGGCGGCGTAGCTGGAGCCCAATCATATAGTGACTGCCTCTGCCCGGGTCTCCATAAAGGTATTCGTGGCCCATATGATCTTTCTGTCAGTGATAGCTGCCGAGGATCATTATCTCTCAGAGACTGGCGTAGGCGTGCAGAACCAGACACTCTTCTTATTCGGTCATCACTACTGCCAGGACCTAGCTGGTCCACAGATGCCCGATGTGGTCGAAGCTGTGACTGACCATGTAATCCTCTGGCTCTAATTCGAAGATTTTCCTCGGTATCCATGACTGGAGGAGCTTGGGCGACGGACTGCAGAAGGGGTGAGGGAACGATGGTAGAGGTGAACATGCGGTTCGGCAGACTATCCGGGGTATCTTCAGACAAGAGGGGAGCACGGTACGGGGAGATGGATGGAGAACCCTGGAAACTAGGGTCAGCGCAGCTCCCAGGAAAAGTGATCACTACATGAGATTCCGAGCATGAATTATGGTGCTCTTACGGATGGTGAGTTTTCTGGAGGAGCCATCCTGCAGGTAGATAAAGAACACGACGGGGTGACGGTTTCAACCAAGGAGAGCTGTAGAGATGATCTCTAGCACAGAGTACGGGTTCTTTCTTGTTCTCTAAGTTTCTTTACTTGGTACCCTCTTTTTCTTTGCGAGGGGCGATATAAACAAATGGGAGGACGAAGCCGAGTTCAGGCCTGATATGAAGATAAGAGGACGAGACGGACGTTTACTCTTCCTATTTTAAGGGGGGGGGGGGGGGGGGGGGGCCATGAGCGGGGGCTGTGGTTGTCACGATATGAACAACAACAGTCGTGATCATCCTCTTCATGGTTCTCCCCCAATACTCCCCATGCTATCTGCCTTGTTCATTTTCACGATTATTCTAGGGAGCAATGCGGATCAAGACAGCTCTACCACCAATTTTCAGATACACATTTTAGCATATATTTGCGGGGGTAAGGTATGTGCAGCTATAGCTACATACAGAAAACGATCGTGCCAATCTTGGTCTGCGGATCGCTGGATTTCGAATTTGCGACATCACTCGCTGTTCCTGAAGTCAATCAATTGTGGTGGCCCCACAGAGGGCTGGCTGTTGGTTTTGGCTAATTGAATTCGAGCATTCGCTGGTGGCACAATTCAGTGAGATGCAGTAGTGTGTTATTCTGTAGACTACTCGGGAACACATGTACCACAAGTAACTCACATGTCGAGAAACCTGATGTGCTAGAGACTCTACTCTACATACTCTACTCGTAGCTTCATAGCGTTTCCGAACACGACCAATATTGCATGACATACAAAAAGGTGGATTTGGCGCTTTTTTGTATGGTATGCAATATTAGTCGTGTTCGGAAACGTCATGAAGCTACGAGTAGAGTATTGTGCAGGACCGCAGGTGCTGCTGTTAGACCGCCTACATGTGGATGGAGTTGCCCTGCCCTGCGTGGGTCCCTGGTAAAACCAACTCTCTGAAGCATTGTGTGCATCAGCATGCTGTCTCGGATAGCCCTACTGCTCGGAACGTCTCCTCATCCTTCTCTATCAACCTCTAATAATCTTCATGGCCCTTAGTCAATTGCGCAACATATACGACAAAAGCTATTTTACCATTTCCATCCATACAACCATCCCTACTGTACCGTCGTCTCTCATCCTACTCACTCCCCGATCCTTTGTTGTTTCCACATCCTTACATGCCGTGCCTCTGCATTCTCCATCAGATACATCTCTGTTTCTTTGGGGCACCAATCGTTTAGGTTATTGGCCATGTACTTCCAATACATTACCCGGTAGTTCTTCTTCCCCTCCCCGCCTCGTTCTTAACACCAGCAGTCTCTTTTCATCCATTTCCCGAGAATTTGATGTTCGTACTAGCATTAGTTTCCTGTTCCTGTAGCCCTGATTGCTATCTCCGAGGTTTCTTTAAAAATCGTATAATTTCAAATCTCTTGTTTTCTATGTGAAAGTTGATCCTTTGCACCTGGAATAATATGAGTTTTGTCTTGATTTCTCTCGATATTTTTGCCACATAATATTGATGCGCACTTATTATCTCGGCCGTGGCTTGCTACTGTGGGTACAACTAGTGATTAAACGTGTAGGCAAACGAGAGGTATCCGAGTATCTCAATACGGTCCGAGTGCCAGGAAATAATGTTCCGTTTATGCATAGTCTGTCCGAGTTGTTCTCGTATTCTATCGCTTTCAACTTGAGACTATCTTTGTGAAGCTATACCTAATGCTTTTAGCACCTGTTAAATCTAGCTACTATTCAGCGTGCTTCTCGAACTAAAATCCCTGCCATCCCGCTTAAGCGCGGTTGTTCTATTCGCTTCGGGTGTTGTGGTATCTGATTATCGATAATGAGCTCTCTTTTTTTTCCCCGGCGCATATGTGACGCACAGCTTAGCTTCTGCACCCTGCACGTTCGCCAGACAGGTGGGTGCAGAGAGCACTGGCTTCCGGGGATTTGAGGAAAAAAAAGGAAATACGAAGAAGGCAGCGATTGAAAAGAAACCAAGAACCTCTTCCCCTCATCTGATTGGAGAACTGTAATAATGGCAAAGGACTTTCGAGCAGAGAAAAGAGACATCACCACATTTCAGACTGCACAACATCCACGATGTCAAACAACTGTTTTTGGACCGTTTCAAAAGCAAAACAGCCAATATACAACTGCATTTATGTCGAAAACTCATGAAAAATCGTCATCTCCTGGTACCACCAGTGCCCTCTGTACACAAGGTTCAATGAATTGCGTATTCCGCAATTAACGCCGCAGAAGCTTTAATTAAGACGGCTTTAGAGCTACTATCGATTGCTATCGTTGTACTTGCATGCATAGTCCAAAGTCGGATAACGGAGAAGTAAATCTATGATATGTCATTCTTGACGTTCCAATTGATCGTGTTAAAGTAAAACAGGGAATTAGTAAAGGCGTCTACTGCGTTGGAAATCACCACCCTGGTAAGCTTGCTCAATTCGAGACGGGGAATCTCGAACAACATGATCTTGGCAATTGAACCAAAACCAAAATATCTCTCTAGGGAATTCCATATTATGTGTTGGCACTCCCCCAAAAATCTATATATCTTTGGCTTCTCTCTCTCTGTTTTCTCCCTCTTCATCAACTTACGAAACCCACACTACAAGCTTTATATTCTTGTCAAAATCGCTTTCTTATTCATACCATTCCAACCCAACTTTCAGATATGGCCAAAATCACTTCTATTGAATACTTTCGTGTTCTGCCCCGCTGGCTATTCGTTAAGGTTACCAGTGAGGACGGCCATTATGGCTGGGGAGAGTCAACATTGGAAGGGCACACTGAAGCAATTGAAGGCAGCCTCGATGAATTGATCTTGAGATTTGTGGGCTATGAAGCTGAGTAGGTTTTTCCCTTTGCAATCTTATTTTATTATAGTTCATGGTCGCCCAGCATTTCATGCTAGCTCCCGTAAATTATGGCATAAGAATTTGCTCGCCGAACTATACCGCCGCACAAGAATAAATTTTAATTTGACGCTTTCTTATACAGTGATATTGAGCACATCTGGCAGACTGCCTGGAGATTGGGATTTTATCGTGGTGGTGCCGTTTTCATGTCTGCCATCTCTGGAATTGACATTGCTTTATGGGACTTGAAAGGTATGCCACAGAATATTTCTTACACTCTCTGTAATTTCGCCATATAAAACGACGTTCGACGTTTGTTCCATCATTGTGCATCCCACGTCGCAGTCTTGGCTAGATTTGCCGATCTCATTAAAGACGCGGGGGTCACACTTGGTGAGGCTGAGCGTGGGGTTATCCCGGATCGACGCACCCGCATGAATCGATCGGAGAATTACCGTTAGAGTGATCACTCATGACTGACGCTTGATACAGCCAGGAAGCTTGGCGTCCCTATTTACTCGCTCCTTGGAGGAAAGGTTAGAAACAAGGTCGCAGTCTATGCCTGGATTGGAGGGGACCGTCCTGGAGACGTCGAAGAGCAAGCGTGAGTAGTCTTTGATTTCTATCTCCTATGCCAACCACTTCAGCTTTGTTTCTTTTCAAAAAAAAGAAAACATGACTTTAGAAGCTTTCTGGCTAACTTCAAGTTATTTTGGTTTTTAGCAAGAAGCGCAAGGCTCAGGGATTCACAACTATAAAAATGAACGCAACCGAGGACTTGGGCTGGTTGGACTCCCCATCCGCGTTGAACGCTTCTGTCGAACGTTTGAAGGCTGTTAAAGCTGTCGGTCTCGATGCTGGTCTTGATTTTCATGGCCGTATTCACAAACCGATGGCCAAACAACTTGCGAAGCTCTTAGAGCCCCACCAGCCACTCTTCATCGAGGAGCCATTGCTTTCCGAGCACCCCGAAGCCATCAAGCACTTTTCTCAGCAGACCACAATCCCAATCGCTCTCGGTGAACGTCTTTACAACAGATGGGATATCAAGCCATTCCTTGAGTCATCCTCGATCGATATACTTCAACCTGATGTCTCTCACTGCGGTGGAATCTCTGAGATTCGTCGCATTGCAGCTATGTGCGAGGCATACGACGTTGGTGTAGCTCCCCATTGCCCTTTGGGACCAATTTCCTTGGCCGCCTCGATTCAAGTTGCCATGGCTACTCCCAACTTCGTCATACAGGAGATGTCTTTGGGCATTCACTACAACAAGATGACCCCCGCAGGCGCTGGCACCTGGGACTTGAACAGTTACCTTAAAGACACATCTGTTTTTGAAGTCAATGAAGGATATGTTAAGGGCCTTACAGGTGTAGGCTTGGGCATCGAGGTTGACGAAGTGTTGATCAGGAAGGTTTCTACCGAGTGTAAAACTGCCTGGAGATGCCTTGAGTTCCACGGCCCCGACGGTGCTATTAGAGAATGGTAGAAACTCCTTTTTGGAAAAGGTGCATGCTGTTTCTGTTCTTGATGCGGGTCGTATGGTGTAACGGGTTTACTCTTTTCATTTTTTCTTTACTCATTCAAGTATGATGGTCCCGATGTCGATACCAGAGTGGTGAATTTGTCCTAGGTGCATGCACTTTTAAGTTTTGTAGCCAATTTAAATTGATCTTTTTACCTTCAATCTGATATTTCTTGTGAATTCAAATTCCAGCCGGATCCATGCCAAGCATATGAGTAGAGTAAAGGGATTATCAGTTTAGCTTCACCGCAGTAAAGGACAACGGCATAGAGTATGATCAACCGCAGGTTAATGAGGTAGTCGCTCACACTTAATGTAACAGGATTGACATGTGGGTATTCTGATAGTTTTTCACCATTAATCGGGGATCTCCAGATCGTAATACCAGCCCTGTGCTGGACTCTGAGCCTACCCGTATACGTAGTTTGCCTACATGTAGTAAATGTGGCAGTTAAAAGGTATCAAGTACCTACTCTACTGCATTGGCTAGTCATAGGATTACTTGTTCCAGCAAATCAGAGCTTCAGGATATCTTTGTATAATGTGGTTGGAATGGGCGGCACTAGACCAACAAAATAACAGCATCAAGTATCAGTATCAATCAATCATGACATGACGTTGATCGATTCTGGAAGTGCTACTCCATGCTCTCGGAATCAGATAAGCGACCAGATATCCACCCCACCCATAAGGAGTTACAGCTTGCTTCACGCACGTCATTCTTGCGATGAGCTTTGTCCCCAGGCAATATCTACCGGCGATGTGGCCTGCAGCTATGGGTGGGTATTTTTGTTGAACAACGCAACCCGTGCATAAACTTACATGTGCCTGTCTGTACCTTTCCCAGTCTCAACCATTCATTTACAATAATACCATATCAGAGTGGTCAAAAACAAAGTCCCGTTTTAGACATCCGGGGGGCTTTTTGATATCAACGAGAGAAAATGCGTTAGATATTCTGATGGTCCCCTTATTTCAAGCTTCAATTTAATTGAATAAGAAGCATAACTCTGATTAGCCCAGAATCGAACACACATTACAACGTATCTGCGAATTGGTTCTACGGCGGTAAACGCGGAACGCACAAAAAAATCTGGTTTGGTCTCTCAGAATACAGTTGCAACTCGATATGCCAGAACTCAAAATCACCGGATCCTTTGCTGTTCCGTACGGAATCCTCAGGGTCTTGGCAGTCGGGTTGCAACTCAGGCAGCGATTGCAAACAGCGGGAAGGGTGTATGTACTCTACCTAAAAGTTAAAACCACAACCTGCCTGTGATATAGCATAATGGGGTTAGACCGGGTTGATGATCCAATAAGCCCACGCTTCTTCCCGCGCGCTAGAGCGGGAACCAACCCCTGTTTTACCCCAGGGCCCAAGGCAACCCGTGCTTGTCAGCCATAACTATTGATAATTCTTAGAGGTGAAGTCTGCGCAATGCTCATGAAAAATAGCTACTTAGAGGGCACTAATAAAAAATCTTGAGGCGAACCATACATTGTGATGTACCGAGATGCTGCTGTTCGTGGAGAATGTTGGTATTTACACACATACATACAGCAACCTATGGGACAAGCCAGAAGACAAGGATCGTGATAAAATTGGCAGCCTGAACAGTGTAAGGGATATCGAGCATTATTTCATCTTTTAAACCGCACTGCATCGCAAAAACAAGATATCCAACACTCTCCGCTCAGTTGGCCCTTTAACTCTTCTTTTCTTATCAGTATGAGTGAACCCCACAACAATGACGATTTCCTGGACAACTGGATCAAAACCCAAGCCATCAAGTACGCGTTCAACGAGAAAACGAAGGGCTTCGTCGGGAAGAAAATCATTCGGGAACGCCTTGTCAGCACAATCCCACGAGAGTTCATTGCACGAGGCATTACAAAGGACAGAGTGGGCATCCGACTTACCGAAATGTTGGCGAGCGATTTGACTCAAGAATTGGTTCGGGAATGTGACGAAAAACGTATCAAATCCAACGAATTTGATTCCAATGCTTTAGCAGCTAGCGGTTCATCACAATATAATCGTTACGGCAGTGATGACGGTTTGCAAAACGGCAAGAAGCCGAAAACCACAACGGTTGGTGCTGAAGTTAAGGGCGACATGCATAGGGGAGTAGAAGTCTCGACAACCGCACCAAGCCCTACCCTTTCAGTTGCCAGTGTCGGTCTTGTTACTGCAGAATTTGTGCCAGGAAAGCTCAAGTACTGTCTTAAGTCTTCCACAATGCACGCCGCAGCCCAAAAGCCAAATGATAGATTTTCTCAAGGAGGGAGTTCGACCCCTGCAAGTCCAGCCTCATCAATTGCCCCACCAGTGGTTCCACCAGGAAAGCCCAAGTCCTGTCTTAAGTCTTCCACAATGCACGCCGCAGCCCAAAAGCCAAATGATATATTTTCTCGAGGAGGGAGTTCGTCCCCTGCAAGTAGAAGTCCAGCCTCATCAATTGCCCCAGCGGTGGTTCCACCATTACCTTCAGACCCCGAAATTCCGTCTCTGCCTTTCAAGCAACAACATCGGATTCTTACCACTCTACAAAGCATTCTCGAATGTGCCTACTATGATTTTGCGCGAAAGCATTATCCCAACTTGCTTGTTCGGAAACATTGGGACTGCCCTGAAGCAGGTGAAATAACCCAATGGGCTCGAAATATAGCATTCGAATTCCGAAAGGACCCCATCAACACTAAGGGGGCGAGAGATGTAGAGGTTTTTATCTCAACATTGAAAAGTACCGATGAAATTAGGCACGCGGCGGTGCACCGTATTCCAGTCTCGGGAAAGGATATCCAAAGACTTATCGAGAACTCTAGAACCGTTATGAGTATGCTTGGTGACAAGAGACGGAAGCGGGAAATTGACAGGATCAGTGAGGTTATGGAAACAAATATCGAGATTGTCTTGAAGTTGCGGAGAGAAAAGGAGGACAAGCTGAGGGTCGAACTGGAGAAGTTGGAAGAGTGGAAGAGAATCCTTGAACTCAGAGAGATGAGGGCAATCAGACAAGCTGATCAACAAGAAGAGAATATAGAGAGGTCGTTCCGTGATGAGGTTGAGCGAGCCCTGGATTTGTTAGAAACCGAGGAAGATGGTGCAGATGTTGAGAGTGATGGTAGCGAGAAGGAGCCAGAAACGGCCCGCTCAGAGCGGGTAGCAAATTCAACCCCGGATCAACATGATGAAGAGTACTTCCATGAGTCGGAAATTTGGCCTGCATCTATTGAGGTCGATAATAGCTATACTGGTGCTTAGTCAGTAGTTCTGGGTAAGTTGTTACATAGATTGTTGGTTGAAAGTATTTTTGAAGTTTAATGAATGAGATATAGTGGCCGATCTACTTATATATGTGCCCCACTCCGCCTCGAGATTCTCTTCTGATAACTTCAATTGGGTGGGAATCGGCGTTGTTATCTCTCAAAGCCATCGTGGGAAGGATCACGGTATGTTCAAGTTGTAGATGATAAGCTTCAGTTTTATCCCCCACAATTAACCCAAGTTATACTACACCTTTGCGTTTATCATCGTTCCTTTTCTCTCCTTGTTATTATCTCTCTATTTTCCTGACTATTACCTCTCTATTTGTCACGAATATCCGCGCCTAGGAAGCTATCATTTTTGATCCTGGAGCAAGATAACACCGATACCTAAATATTACCACTCAGAAAGTGAAGTCCTATCGGCAGAGCCCTGGAGTCTACGTCAGAGTTAATAAATCCTTGTTGGGTTCATGGGATACATTAATGGACTTCACTCCTCTCGTAATGATGATAATATCATCCCTAACCGTAGTCCCGAGTCAGAGTTCATGAGATTACTTTAGCTGCCACATCTACGCTGGTGCTTTAACGCACCTCAATCCTTTGGGACTTTACTAAACACAATATTGTAATGGAGCTCCAGTATACATTGGGATATTTTAAATTACCTAAAACGATTTATGGCATACTCACGAAGTGGATCGCACACTCTGGGGAATAACTTTGACCTGGCCCATATGCATTCATCCGGCCCTAGACTTGGGCTAAATACTTCAACATAGTAAATCGACGCAAGGAAAGAATTAGGTTGGTGTATAGATACTTGCGGAAGTGATTAAATAGGCGCGCTTTAAAATCTATTGCATGATGAGAAACAGCGCAATATGTAAACGGATTCACTTTATTATCTAAACATCCATCTGACATTGCTCAAGTTCATCTCCTCATGTACTTGTCATCTGCTCATACTCGATGCTAGCGTAAATAAAAGGTCCAAGGCCCTTGAAATCGTTCTCCTTCTCTGCCACCGAGATATAGTACTAAAATCCAGTTATGTTAGTATCAACGTCATCACTTCAATCTTAGAGATGAAAGAGTCAACTCACTTCGAACGTTCCATTACTACCCAAGCTTCCCACGTTTACTGTTCCTTCCCAATTCAACAGTCCATTACTATCTTCGACTACATAGTCCGAAAGCAACAACTTATACGCCTTCTCTGCTGTCGGGAAGTAATCCGCTTTACTAATATAGCCCTTGCGGATTCCCTTCAACATTGCATAAACAAACATTGCCGTCCCACTGGTCTCGATATAATTACCAGCATGTCCCGGCCACGGCTCAGACATCACCAACCACCAGCCTCCCGTCGCCGGGTCTGCTGCCGCCTTAACCCCTGCAACAGCTCTGATGAAGTAGTTCTTTAACGTAGTCGCTCCCGCATGCGACGCCGGGAAGTAATCGAGCACGTCCAAAAGTGCCATCAGATACCACCCTAACGCCCTATCCCAGACTTCCGGGCTCTCGCCAGTTACGGGATCAGCCCATACAGCTACCTTCGACTCGTCATAGCCGTGCTTCAGGAGACTGTTTGTGGAGTTGCGGGTGTATTTCTCGATAAGGTCAAACTGCTTTACGATGTCGTTGTAAGCAGTGGTGTTCGTGGGTTGGAAGAAGCTGGTGTATTGGGTGTAGAACGGGGCCTGCATGTATAGTCCGTCGAGCCACATCTGGTTGGGATAAGTGGAGCGGTGCCAGAAACCACCTAGATAATTGTTAGGTTTGCTCAATTCAATTGGGTTACTTTGAGATGTATTTACCTTCTTTGTTGCGTGTATGGGTCTGGAGCTGGAGACGCAATGTGTCTGCTGCAGTCTTGTATTTTGCGGTCCCCGTCTTCAGATACCTATTCAGTAGCTTTGTAAGTAACTTGTTTATAGCGCCATAGGATTCTCCCATCAAGAAAACAAATTTTCATGAAAAACTCACATATAGATAAACTCAGGTCCCAATCTCACATCATCGAGAGTATAATAGTCAAGATCATAGTCCAACAACGTGCCCGCCGAGTTCATGATATTATCAACTCCTGTCTTCAAATAGCTGAGATAAGTTGCATTTCCAGTCACATTATAGACCATCTCGAGAGCGCGCTCAAAAACCGCATGGTCGTAGGTCATTAGGACGCTCCCCGCTGCGTTTTTCCCAAGAGGGGTCTTGCGGGCAATAACAGAGTCGGCCATCCATTGCGAATACGGCTTCGCCCCAGCAACAAACGAAAGGGGAAGAGCGGAAGCTCCCAGGATTATTGCTGTCGTAAAACTCCTCATCTTGGAATATCAGAATTGGTCTCTGTAAATAAAAAAACCAACTTGAAGTTTCTACAAAAAAAGACATATTACACCTCTCTTATAGGTAGGCTTTAGACCCACCTCCAATGGGGACTTCCGATGAATTCCCCGGGTACGCCGTTTCTTCGGCCTATTTGACCCCGTAGTATGTCGCCGTTGTGGGGAGACATGTATGTGCACATGTCCAAAAAGAAACATGTTTGTACAACGAGAGGGATCGACTGCCGCCGGGGTTTTGGCGATATCGGATACATCAACTGGGATCAGCAGTCCCAGGTGTACGGAAGCTCGCCCGAAAGTACCTGTAATGTCCCACAGATAGCGATCAGGAAGCTCGGCGCATCTCGATGGCAGTTTACCTTAAAGTTTATACATACTCCCTTATCAAGGGCCTTTGGGTCTTGCAGGGAGGTTGTATGTACGGATGGAATACCGTTTTCATATTGAGTTGTCAGAGCCAGGATGCCAAATGTCCGTAGCACTGGGGGTGGAGACAAAAACAGAGATTGGAGTTGGATTTCCAGTGTTTTATAATCAATCTCTATATTGTCGTACGTGCAGCGAGCGGTTGCTTTGGGCAGCTGCGGTAATAATTCCGAGATATGTCCTGAGGTTTATTTACTTCAGGGTTAAGTATGCACAAAACTCTATGTATTGCTTAGTCACCATTCCACTCAGCTCATGCATGATATATGAATTCACTTCTCCAAGGTTCCCTGTGACAGCCAGGTATAATAACTTGGTGGTTGTGGTGCTGCCCCGGTCCTAGTGCAGAGCCGGACACCATCAGGAGCCCGGAATTAAACTCCGCGAGCTGTGAACCTATGTACGTAGGTACAAATACTTAACTTCCGAGCCAAATTCCCAGAAGTTCGAGTTAGACTATTTCCAAGATTACTTTGGCAGTCAGGCTACATCTAGATACAGGCGTTTTAACTCATATTAATTCTTCAAAGCGCAGAGTAGCTCATGTAAATGCATACGTGATGACTAATGCCGGAAAAGAGAGGTGACGAGTGATTTTGGATGCATCAACGCTCCCAACGATAGTAAAACGAATGAAGCCATGTCATTCGAATCAGAGGAATATCTTTATAGTGAATAGAGAGAGAAAGGGCAGGAATTATTGTCGAATAAAAAAATGTATAATTAACTAGCGGGAAATCGTACTATCCAATCAACAACATCTTGCTCGCAAGCACACGGGTGACTGAATAGCCTCCCGCCAGGCAAACTAAATAACTGTTGCAAAGTTTTAAATGCTCAGTTGATAGGGTGCTTGCTTCATAAAGAAACACTTTAGGCACATTATGAGTGAGCATAAGTACTATGAAGTACAATGCAAGGAATAACGTTGCTACTCTTGGGAAGCACACAGAGATAAAGTGCTCTCTATATTAGATAGCGGTACGATGAAATGAAATCATTCTACAAGGTCACAATTGGATAGGCACAATCCATGATCATGATTGATGGTCACGAGTGATGGTCACGATTGATGGTCACGATTGATGGTCACAATTGATGGTCACGATTGATGGTCACGATTGATGGTCACGATTGATGGTCACGATTGATGGTCACGATGAGAAAAGTGGAGAGGGAAACATTTTCGTATTTCTCAACTCTTGAACAAAAAAAGAAAGGAAATATAACAGAAATGAAATGAATCTTTTTTCAACGCCCCAAGTATACAGAACACAGTGCATCTAGAACTCGTGGAACTATCTCTCACCATACCCAGCACACCATTTTAACCCGTTTATTTCTTGGCACCGGCCTTGACGGCGGCCTTGGTAACCTTTCCGGCCTTGTCAGCCTTGACAACGGACTTGATGACACCGACGGCGACGGTCTGTCTCATGTCACGGACGGCGAAACGACCGAGAGGAGGGTACTCAGTGAAAGCCTCAACACACATGGGCTTGGAGGGAACCATCTTGACGATGGCGGCGTCACCACCTGTGATTGATATATTAGTATCATAATTGATCAAGAAAGAATGGATTAAGGAATGATAACTTACTCTTGATGAACTTGGGGGAGGTCTCAGTGGACTTTCCGGTACGACGGTCAATCTTCTCGAGGAGCTCAGCGAACTTGCAAGCAATGTGGGCGGTGTGGCAGTCGAGAACTGGGGCGTAACCGTTTCCAACCTGACCAGGGTGGTTCATCAAGATGACCTGGGCGTTGAAGGACTCGGCACCCTTGGGGGGGTCGTTCTTGGAGTCACCAGCAACGTTACCACGACGAATCTCCTTGACGGAGACGTTCTTGACGTTGAAACCAACGTTGTCACCGGGGAGACCCTCAGTAAGCTGCTCGTGGTGCATTTCGACGGACTTGACTTCAGTGGTCACACCAGCGGGGGCGAAAGTAACGACCATACCGGGCTTGATGACACCAGTCTCAACACGACCGACGGGAACCGTTCCGATACCACCGATCTTGTAGACATCCTGGAGAGGAAGACGGAGAGGCTTCTCGGTAGGACGGGTTGGGGGCTCAACGGAGTCAATGGCGTCAAGGAGAGTCTTTCCGGAAGACTTTCCAGCCTTGGTCTCCTTCTCCCATCCCTTGTACCAGGGGCAGTTGGAGGAGGAGTCAATCATGTTGTCACCTGAAAGATGGATGTCAGACAATGTTAAAATTGAGGAAAGGAAGGTTACTAACCGTTGAATCCAGAGATAGGAACAAAGGCAACAGTCTTGGGGTTGTATCCGACCTTCTTGATAAAGTTGGAGGTTTCCTTGACAATTTCCTTGAAACGATCCTCAGACCACTTGGTGGTGTCCATCTTGTTGATAGCAACAATGAGCTGCCTAACACCAAGGGTGTAGGCGAGAAGAGCGTGCTCACGGGTCTGACCATCCTTGGAGATACCAGCCTCGAACTCACCAGTCTGTGTTGCAAAGTAATTAGTAAATGTTTAAAAAAAATCGAATGACGTGGTAAGAACTTACACCAGCGGCAATGATGAGAACGGCACAATCAGCCTGGGAAGTACCAGTGATCATGTTCTTGATGAAATCACGATGACCGGGGGCATCTATAACAAAGAAATATTAGCGTTGTCTCGGAAAAATTTCAAATGGGACTAGCGGGGTAGATCTAGATACACAAAAGATCAAAAAGATAAGGTGCGAGGTCAACCTACCAATGACGGTGACATAGTACTTAGGAGTCTCGAACTTCCAGAGAGCGATATCGATGGTGATACCACGCTCGCGCTCGGCCTTCAATTTGTCCAAAACCCAGGCGTACTTGAAAGAACCCTTTCCGAGTTCAGCAGCCTCCTTCTCGAACTTCTCGATGGTACGCTTGTCAATACCACCGCACTATTATCATAAGAAAATCAGTTAGTATCGTAAATTAATTTTTTTTCTTTCTTTCAGCAATGAATACAAACCTTGTAGATCAAGTGACCGGTAGTGGTGGACTTTCCGGAGTCGACGTGTCCGATGACAACGACGTTAATGTGAAGCTTTTCCTTTCTGTGAGCAGAATTGATGTTAGCATTTGTTGAAAAATTTTCAGTCCCATCAAAAAGCAGCGAACTTCAACAGCCACAGCAAAATCGAATACCGTGAACAGCTTCTGATAGCTTTCCCATCACCGAAATGAAGAGAAGCCATCAAAAAACCACTTGCGGTGATGATTTTGTTGTTGCCATAGAGGCGTTCACTGTTGTTTTCAAGAGAAAGGAACGAACTTACCCCATTGTGAATGTATGGATGTTAAAAAAGAAGTGTGTTTTTGTGAATTACTCAGAAGAACGTAGCTTTTGTTCGGTATGCTACGAAGGAAAGTCAGTAGATGTTGATGGATGAAAGTTTTGGGGTAGGAGAGAGAAACTCACAGTGACAAGGAGGGGAGAAAAGAAAGAAGAGAACTTTACAAATTCGTGTGGAAGATGGGAATTTAAAGGGAAGAGGGGTAGTCAGAGGGGTTGAGGGCAGCCCCGCCTCCGGTGGGCTTGGCATTTGTGACTGGGAGCCCTCAGTCCCCACGTAGGTAAGATGTAAGTAAATTCAATTTTTTTTTTTTATCTTTGGATTGCCACTTGCCTTGCAACTAACAGCCTACCCTGCCTCTATTAGCTTCATTGGGTAATGAAGTAAAAATTATGCGGAGGGTGCAAGGGAAAAAAACGAAAAAGTGGATGATGGAGGGTAAAATTTGTGATTCGCCTTACCATATCCTTGAGTCAAGGTTTACTCGACCTACCGGCTTCGGAAACGGTGAGAGATAAATCATTCTGCTATCAATATCAAATACAGGGTCCGTAATTGATACCCATTGCCCAATGGATGGGCTGATATTCCTCACGAACGAAACTAAAGTAATCATCTCGAAATTTCTTATCGTCATGCATCCGTGCCCTCGAGAATGAGGCTTCGAGCCACATCTGCACACCGGTGCCACCAGCATGCGGGTAGTAACGTCTATTCAAGGCTTTTAATTGTGTAGTTTGATGTCTCATCTTCTATCACTAGCAAGGTTGAGGCTTTATCAAAGAAGGAGCAAACCTTCAACCATGTAACAAATACCTACATCATGCACTGTCATGAAACTGCAGTACCGCCGGTAGACTCATACTGTAACTACCATGTAACCTCCACATCTGGTGTTCCCATCTCATCAGTTTAGAGTCATGCCTGTTGGCAGTGGACGTTGTACAGTCTAGAATAACATCCCTTTTCTTGGTCTCTATCCAACACCAGGCTCCGGCCAGCTCTTATGTAGGGTCTGTTAGAGTTCAGTCAACGAGAACCCTTGCAGCTGGCTACTTTGGTTAGCGTAGATATAGTCCCCTGGCAGGGAGACCTGATGAAGTCCGAGAAAAATCTTCCGCTCACGTTTTTGAGATACCTTAATTAATCAAGCTTAACCTACTTGAAGCGAGAAGCTTATCTCGGGAAAGGCGTCCATGCCTGTGAATCGCAGCACCGACGATGCATAAAACCCCCCTGAAAAGAAGAGACGGATACATGTATATATTCACCGTGCGTTCAACGGTTTGTCCCTCGTTGTGGGTATTTTTTAAGTTCAACAGGCCCAAGAAACCCATGCCTCCACCCGGATTCTTGCCTCGCACTCAATTTGAGTTTGACTGAGAAGTCCATAACGACTAATCAGGTCAACTTTTGACATCATTTACTTACACCTTTATTAACCTCTCCATCTCGATCAAGTGACCAAAGAGTCTACTCTAAAACAGTCAACCCAACTCACAACATCTCACTCGTCTCCTCGTTGATGCAGTTTAGATTCAGCTTCTGTACATGAAAAACGTCTTTATTCCATAAAACCAGATGTAACGCAATGCTTCCAAAAACTTCTTCAAAATGCAATTGACGGAGAAAAAGAAAAAATAAAACAATGTGGGAGAAACATGAGCGAAACAAAAGACAGAAAACGCCAAGTGGAAAAGAAAGAAAGACACACGATAAACTCCCAAAACAAAGCGATATCAACAGAGTATTTTACAGCCAGTTGTCTGTGGTGAACCACGCTTCCTCATGTTAGCCAGTACTTAATCCAATAGACATCAGGCAACTTCACAGCTCCATGTAAAGTAGGCCCATGCTATAAACCCCACGACATGCAGAGGTTGGGAGAGACGCAGAAACAAAACTTTTGCCAGATGGGACTGACATATCCCAGCCTCACGACTTCTTGGGTAGTGGAGAAACTTACGATCATCGAACAAATAATCAAGTATAAACCTATACCTACGACCTAGGTATAGAATCACCTCGGTTCTCACCACTATCGTGCTCCTATCGCGTCGCTATAGAAAGCCGGAATGTATTGAGGGACGAAGGTTCCATAGAGGCCATCTAGTTGTCCGAGATAATACTCACGTGCATCGGACAGGGCCTCCTTAATGATTCGAAGGCGCTCGGCAGAGGTCATCATTTGTTTGAAACTGGAGTATTGTTAGTGATTCGAGGAAATAAACGGCCCCCTCCTAATCCCCGTCTTACTTTGTGATGGTGAAGTCCCCACGGACGTAGAGCAAGTGTTGCGAGAATCTCGCACCACCCATATAATCACACAGTTCCCGCAACCAACGGCTCGCGGTTGCAAGCGTCACAAAGCTGCTGGCTGATTTAGCCATTGGCATGTCCGCCATCACATGGCACTTCTCACGTTAGCATCAATGGCTCTTAATCGACTTTTTCCCATAGACAACCTACCAGAACTTCACTAGCCTTGGCCCTGGCATCCTTCCCTCTGAAATTCTTCACCAAGCCATCGAATACAATGTGGAGATGATACAACGCTACGCACTGGAGGGTCTTCTTATCATGCTCGTTTTCCGTCTGCATGTACAACCTAACCAAGCCAAGAAGGAAACCAGCAATTGGCTTTGCACCCTCTGGGATATCAGAAAGCACAGGATCCGATGGATCGTACTCCAGCTGTGAAATGCGTCCCAGCGTCACTTGGATATCGAAGTCGCCCTGTTTCAGGTCCATGATCGACTTCGCCTTATGGGCAATTAAACGATCCGACTTTTCACCGGGTTGGCGAGAACGGCCTACGGTCTATCCACCAAGATATAAATGAGTACAACTTCCGGGGCTCAGAAAAGGTAAATTAAGGAATAGCTACGCTCGGAGTTTCAGGAGGGGTCGAAACCCCACCACCACCACCGCCGCCGCCGACACTTCCACTACTCCCAACTGAACCGTGTACCTCCCGCCCCACTACAGCATTGACTCCCGGAGCAACACTCCCACCTGTCGTACTACCCCCAGCAGCCTCCAGCATGGCAGCGTCTCTAGCGAGTGCGGTGGTATCCAGCTTCGTGGCACTGAGCACAAGCTCTGCAACCCCAGGAAGACTAAGTCGGTAGAAGCGCAGGGCAAGGCTGCTCTGCTGGGCACTCCAGCTTTCTGCAGCAGATGCTGGGGGTGGGCGTGACGCGTGACGGGGTGCAGCAGGAGCGGGGGGGTCAGGAGGCGACATCTGACCGAAGGGAGAGCCGAGGAATGCGTCCATAGCTGGAATGGATATGTGTATATTTAGTCTAGGGATGGGCCTGTTGAAATAGTGATATGGAGAAGGATGCAAGTGTAGGGAGCTCTGGTAGAGGAGGAGGAGGAGGAGTCGAGGGACCGTCGGGAGCGCTGCTCAGGACTCGGGTGATTGCAACGCCAAGAAGACGTCTAACCTTAATGAAGAGCCGCAAAGACAACAGGGGAGGGAGCGGGAAGGGGTAATTTCTGGGGATTGACAGATGTCACCCTTCTTCTTTTATAGACGGTGCCAGGGAGTAATTGAAACAAACGGAGGTTTTCACATTTATAATACAAGACAAATAAACATCCAGGAGTACATAACTCTTGACATCTGGGTCTCTATGATGTTTGTTGACGTTGCTCTTCGAATGGGGTTCTCCGCACTTTCTCTGTGACCCCTGCAGCGGATCCCCACAAGATGTGCTTAGTAGAGTGGAAATAAATATGGATTAGTTATATGAGGTTACGGATGGGCAGGTACGTACAGACAGGTACGGGGCATACATGCAAACCGACACCATGCAGAGACAGGCATAAAACAGCCCACTCCTGAAAACGAGAAACTACAGAAAGCATTCACATGCAATAAACCTTAAAAGTGGCGAGGGTCTGAGCTATCACGGGAACTGAGGTTAAGTTGGTGCTTTTAGTAAGGGACACGGCCACTTGAGCTTAAGAAGTGAGTGTGAATGCTAGACCTGCGTCCTACTAAGCCCTAAATATATACTCATCCCAAAATGACAATTATCTACTACTCTAGTAGCTTGTAGTATCAGCGATTCAGTACGTTCTGGTTAAAGTAGCCGTACTAGTACTAATGAGGAACCTGTTATGATATTTCAGATTAAACTAGCATTGCAGGTCATTGCAAGGGGTACTCCTGTATCTCGTCATATCTGGAAGGGGTCATCCCATATACATTATATAGCCTTCCAAATCTTGGGACACTGTGGGCCTGGGTCTTCTGCGTTGGATATTTAACAGATCATATAGCAAAAGCCTCCGAGGAATCCTCCCCTAGATCTAGAGATTGTGGTTGTGTTTGGAAGAATGACCTACCCCTGACACATCTGCTAGATCTTTTGCGTACACACAGAGGTCTAAATCGGGCCTAGTCACTCCCAGAATATACGTATCTCTACGGTTTCCTTATCTTATCTGGAGAGACTTCCCCTCCCCTCCTCTCCCCCAGATAAAGATAGACACCACTCTGCGTGGCGATTTAAGTCATGGGAGAAACCGCTGGTGTACCTGCAAGAACGCTATCAGGATTAGTATCAGACTACGGTGGTATTACTACAATCTTGTGGATAGAACGCTGTTCGCCACACAACGTCTCAGTCTATCTTCAATTTTAATTCCCCACATGTCTTTATGCCATCTTACACTTCTAGAAGCTTTGGCATGAGTCAACGTATGGATGCTGCACTTTCTTATAGTCGCCACAGGCACGATATAGCTATCCCCAGATCGTATATTCTGCCTGACTGCACGTAGTCAGCGAACCATAGCAGATTCGACTACAATTGCACCCATATGGCCGGTCTGATTTCTATATCTTATTCTCCGCAAAATACGAGGACTTGATATTGAGTTCATGCAGTTGATTATAGCGCACAGTTACTACAAAACATAACCCACCGACTCAAGCCAGTCAAGTCAACCAACTACGATGCAGGGCAAGCCATCAAAAATGACTTTCTGGATTTGAAACGACATACCGTTCTCTCAAGAGACATCGTTACAACCATTGGGGTGCAATATCAAATATCTCGTACTGGAAGCTTCGTAGTCTTCTCGAGCTCTTTGTGAGATGACTCAAGCTTTGTGTGAGATGACTCAAGCTATATTAAGCTTCACTAGTGTTCGTTGAGTTCAGTTGTACTCGGCCAGACCCTCACATTGCATATCGGGGTAGGAGGTGGTGGCACCGCGGGCCAAAAATCGTGTACTGTAATGGGACACGCCACTTCGAATAGGCCCTGAAGAATCACTGCAGCTAGGATGAATATCAAAACTCGGACAGCATCCAGTTTTGATGTTCGACCAGTCACACTGAGTACTCAAAGTACGGGACCCCTAAAGACACCCACGATTAATCAAACTAGATAGTGATGGTAAGGTAATAGGTACATGGCCTACAAATATATTATCTACAGTCTCTATACAGTAGAGAAATCTTTATTTGCTTAAAAAAAAAAAAAAAAAAAACGAAGAGGAAAAGCAAGACGATCTTTTGTTTTTGAAAAAAAAGCCAGCACAAGAAGAAACAGAACGGAAGAAGGAAAAAAGAACCAAAGACAAACCCGCTCTTTCCTCACGCAATGCATGATATATCCCTCTCACTCCTCCTTCCCTACCTTCCTCCCCTCCATACTCCCCAAATCAAACCCCTCCGTCCCCTCCTCTTCTCCCTTCCCGTCTTTACTCCCCACCCTCAACATCTCCCCACTGCCCCCCACCCCACTCCCACTCCCACCACCACTACCGCCACCCTTCCCCTTCCCCGCCACAAAGCCCGTCTTTGCCTTCACCGCCGGATCGTCGCCCAGCATCCACGCAAAGCTGCTCTGCGCCAGCGACGACCGCGGCTTGTGCGTCAGAAAGTCCGGGTCCGAGTTGTTCTTGAAACTCGTCTTAACAAAGTTCCCCGGCGGCGAGCTCGGCGTCTTTACCATCGCCGAAGACGCCGCAGACATTGGTGATGCCGGGTTCAGCGGCGATATTGCGGCGGCAGACGACGCCCTCCTAAATGATGGCGGATGCCTCGCCGACACTGGCGTCCCAGGCGCACTACCTGGAGTGCCAGGAGCTATTGTCTCCAGCAGCTCCGGCCCCACCACTTTAGTGCTATCCGCCAAACACGCCCTCACGCCCTTCAACCTTTCAATGGCACTCGCCCTCTCCACGGCGCCCAGCGGCTCCTGCTCCAGCGCATCAATGACAGCACCAAGCGCCTTCTCAAGCAGTCTCCTACGCTCCTCGTCGAGCTTCAGTTTCTTACTGAGTGCCCTACTGCGCTTCACGAGCTCCTCTTCTTTCGCGAGCTCCTTGCTCGCCTCGGCCCACTGCGCCTGCTGCTGCTGCTGGAAGCCCTGCACGTTCTTCTTGACCTCGCCGACAGCGCGGCCGATGGTGCGGTTGACGCCCCACTTCTCGCCGCGGTCGAGGACGGTGCGTGTCACGTCGCTGAGGACCGAGTCGAGCTGGACGCCGGGGATGAAGCGTGTGGGACTGCCAAGGGGCGATTTTGTTCGGGATGCCGCAGTGGTAGTGGAGTTGGCGGTGGGTTTGGCTGGGCGCGGGGGAAGGGGGGTTTTGGGGGGCCGGTCGGAGTAGAGGGTGATGATGTGCTTGCCGCCGGTGAAGGTGAGGTTGGAGCGCAGGTGCAGGGCGTCGGCGACGAAGGTGCGCGGCGGGTGTGCGGCGGAGGGAGACGGGTAGCGGAGGACGAGGGTGAGGGCGGTGGAGTAGTCGGCGGTTACGACTGTCGTTGGCGGGGTGTTAGTGCTGTCTTTGACATGTAGATAGATGTGTGCGAGTGCTGGCTAATGATGTAGATGTATTCTGGGAATATATAGGAGAGAGGTAGATATTTTAGGAATAGAGAATAGGTAGATATATTCTGGGAATATAGGAATAGAGGAATATAGGAATAGAGGAATAGAGGAATATATAAAAGGAGAGAGCATACGCTGCCAGCGGATGCGCAGAAGCATGGCCACGCAGATGTAGTCCACGAGCTGCAGCCCCGGGTCCTCTGCAAACAGGCAATCCCACACCTCGATGAGCTCGTCGAGGGGAAACTCCCGCCCAAAGAGCAGCCTGATCCAGCGTCTATCGATATGAAAACCCATCATTAGCCATAACCCACTCCAACACCAATCTCACCCCCCATCACAGCAAATCACTCACATCAGAAACACCTGCGGCAACACATCCAGCGCCTTGAGGTGATTGCCCAGCTCCGGGTCCACGGCCATGACAAGATGCTCATGGATCCACCGACTCTTATCCACAATCGGCGGCCGTCCACGACTCTCCCTGCCCCTCCCTTTCCCCTCGCCCTCCTCGCCGAGCTCATACCACGCCTTCGCGGAGCGCATCACAACCTGGAACAAGCTGAATGTGTCGTGCTCGACGTAGTGCTCGTCGCAGAGCGCCCTCACCATCTCCTCTTCCCCCTCCTGCCCTTCCCTCTCACTCTCCTCTTCCCCTTCACCCTGAGCAGCAACAGCATCAGCAGACAGCACCCACAGGATCACCGCCACAATCTCATGCATCCCCTGCCGGTACCCCAAGTCCTCGTTGAGCTTGCAATACACAAACAGCACGTCCAGCAGCGACTTCTGCACGGCCGCGCCGCGGAAGTAGGCCACGTCCGGCATGCACCGCTCCACGTCCTGCACGATCTCGGCGCGGAGCTCCTCGTCTTTGCGGTAGCGGTCCCAGGGATTCTACCTCCGCCACCTCCATTAGCACCATATAGAGAGGAAAGAAAAAAGGGGGGGGGGTAGTACGGCTTCATCCTCGGCCAGCGGGTCCAGCTCCACGCCGGTGCCGCCGTCGGCGCGCTCGAGATCGAACGGCGCCATGTAGCGGGCGCGCAGGTCCTCGAAGACGCTGCGGGAGGCGGCGAGCGTGGCGCGCCAGGTGCTCTGGTCGGTGGTGGGGAGGAGGAGCCATGTCTGTCGTTCACCCCCCAATTCAATTCTCAGTCAGTCTTAGGTAGAGAGGGAGGGCGGAGGGGAGAAGGAGAGAGGGGGGGGGGAAGGAGGAAGAAGAGATGTACCTTCCAGCACACGCTGCGCAGGCCGGCGGACGCTTTGAGGCCCTCGGGCGTGGGGCGCGGGCCGGGCTCGAAGGTTGCTTTCCAGCGGGCTCTGTTGGTGCACTACCGTCAGCCATGAGCTCTCTGGCCAGCTAGGGATTACCGGGCTGCAGCTGGGGAGAGGGGTTGATAGGTACCGGGCGTCCTGAATGTCCAGCATCGCAATGTCTTGTTTGCCGGGCTGGATTCGAGGGGTTCTGTAGCTGTCTTTGCGGGCGGAGGGGCTGGCTGACCGGCTGTATATAAATGCATATGGAGCTGCGATATAGCTCGCTGCCGCTGTGTTCTGGGATTCGCTGCGTCGGGGGTGGGATGTGCGGTACGCGGGGCGCGGGCATATGCTGGTCTTCCTTCGGGTCGCGCCCGTTGCTGTGCTGCGAGGGAGGAGGAAAAGGTGCGATCATGAGCGGGTGTCAATGATTGGGATGCTGGTTGCTCGACGCATGGGAACTCACTGATTGATTGGCTACTTCATGATCCGGGAACACTCAGAAGAATCGCAGCAATCACAAGTGAGAGAGTAACAGAGACGCAGCTATAGCACAATCCAATCATCTGATTCTTACTGTAATACAATGCCCCCGCAGACTGACCTTTTGATTTGTACAAGAAGAAAATGCTACCTCATTATGATACCTAGAAACATCCTACAAAAAAAGCATACAATACAGAATCCAATCATTTCCGCACACACACAAAAAACACTAATGCCTCCTCCAACCCATCAACCCTTCAGCGTCTTCCCATGCTTCTCCCAAAACCCCCTACACCCGCCATGCCCGCCCCACCCCGCATCCCACCACCCCAGCCTCTCCGTCCGCTCCTTCAGCCCCGGCAGCACCTCGCTCTTCGCCAGCCCACACAGCTTGCACCCGCCGACTACCTTAGCAGGCATGCGTCCGACCTCATCCGTCACCTCGGGAACTCCCGCTCCCATTGCGGCCTTCAGTCGCCCGGCACCGTCGCCCCACAGCCGACACGTCTCCTTGACCTCACGCTCCTCCTTCTGCTGTTCCCACCCCGAATTGGTACCGCCCGCTAGCTTCATCCCACCGCTGCCTGCACGCCCGCGGCCGACAGTCTTGGGCCGCCGCTTGCGGCCGGCGATGATGCGCCCCGCCACCCGCCCGAGTTCGCAGGTGCCTTCGAGGAAATCGCGAGACTTGGGGTGCGAGAGGACGCGTTGTCGCAGAGGGAACGGGAGCGCGGTGAGCTTGTCGAGGAGGTGGGTCTGTGGTAGTAGAAACAGTGGTGGGAATGCTGTTAGCAGGACCGCTACTGGTGGCATTGGGTCTTCTTCTTGTACTAGTTTCCGGGGTGGCGAGAGGTGCGTGGGCGCAAAGTTCTTCAACGTGATACTGGGACGGCTGGCATGTGTTCGCGGCGGGCTGCTGAAGCTTTTGGTGGCAGGTGGTGGAGTGTTGAAGACGTTCTTCGGTGGCGCAGAGACGACGGGGGACGAGATAAAGTCGCCAAAGTCGTCATCGTCGTCCATCAGCGTTGGGGTAGCGAGCTTCGTCAAGAGCTGGTTTGTCGGCTTTGGAGGCGTCGGTGGAGCAACTGAATTGCTCATGCTGTTGCGGTAATTGCCACCTGTCTGTAGTACTGGCAGGCCATTTCTCGGCGGTGTAGCTGCTGCAGTCGAAGGGAAACTGAACCCTGATAGTGACGCTGGAGGGGGCGTGCCAATGCTATTCCGCGCTGGATTTAAGCTCTGTAGTCCCGCGAAGCTGTCCTTGGGGGCATTGTTGACCGCCGGGAAGCTAAACCCCGACATTGAGCTCGGTGGCGGCGTGTTATTCCGTAGCCCATTGCCATACTGCTGCACTCCCGAAAAACTATTCTTTGGCGTATGATTCCCCGACGAGCCCGAGTTCGGTGTACCAGGCGCCGTACTAGTAGCTGCTGGCGTCGGTGATAGAGCTTGCATGGGTGTCAGCGCCGGAATTGACGGTTTCTTCGGAGCACTTGTCGTCGCAGACGCAAAGTCCCCGAAATCGTCCTCTGCCTCGCACTCGAGCTTGTCGCTGTCCATGAGGTCTAGTAGGTCTGGCGGCGGCGTAGGCGCCGAGAAGCTTCCATACGCAGATCCGTTCGTGCTACCTCCCTGATGTGATACCGGGGTCGTCTTCCGACTGATGCTGTGCCCATTCCTGCTGGACGACCTCGGTGGTGGGGGTGTGAACCTCCCACCCCTCCCATCACTCCCCGAAAAATCGTTCCCCAGAGCTTCAAAGAGATCGATCTTCTTTGGGTTCGGCAGAGGGCCATGGTAGGACATCTGTCTCGGGGTGTGGCCTAGCCTCGACATGTGGTGCGGCTTTGGGGGCCATGGTGCTTGCGGGTTGTTGACGTATGCAAGGAGGTCGTCGAAATTCGTCGCGGATGCTCGGTGCTGGTGGCCGTGGGAGCCGGTTCGTACCAGGGGGACATTGTGGAGCGGGGCGTGCTGTGGAAGAGGGGCAGAAGAGGTCAGGTCGAGGCCGAGGGGGTCTGCGGAGGTGAAGCGGCGGCTGTTGGGTGGTGCCCTGGAGTTTGGTATGGTGGGAGCAGAGGGTTTGGGGGAGGAGTAGGAGGAGGAGAATTCTGCGAATTCACTCAGTAGGTCTTGTGACATTGCGGGAAGGAAGAACGAGAGCTATCGTGGGAGCACAGCAAGGCAAACAGTCGAGCACGGTGAGATGGGTATGTATGTATATGTATAGAATAGTAATATTTGTTAGAGCACAGTAAAGTAAAGTAAGTTTAGTGAGTAGCAGCAAGTAATGTATGCAGTAGAGCAAGTAAGAGAGCAAGCAAGTAGCAAGCAAGCAGCAGCAGCACCGTTTGAGAGAATGTCGTCTGTCTGATGATTATTACTGACTGACTGAAGGAATGGACGGATGAAGCATTAAATGAGTGATGAGTATAAGTGCTGCGTGAGAGTGAGAGCGAGAGTGAGCAGCGAGGGAGTGAGAATAAGAAGAGAGACACCGTGGACAGAGTAAGAGGGAAAAAAAGTATGTAGACCACCGATCCCCTTCGCTCCGTCCCCGTCCCTGCTGCCTCCTCCTCCTCCTCCTCCTCCTCCTCCTCGTCCTCCTTCTCCGTCCACCCTTTTCTCTGCGGGTCCCTAGGGGACTGAGGCACCGAGGGATGCCGGCATCGTATGGTTCTGGTCATGCTCATGCTCTTGCCTCATGCCTCATGCTCTTGCTCTCAGTTACATAGAATTCTCCAGACCTCCGCTCCTACTGGGTGCACGGCTCGGTCTCCGACTTCCTCTTCCTTTCCTCGGCCCTCGCACTACTGCGCTGTGCATAATATACCTATGGCTATTACTGCTCTTTTCTCCCCATGATCATGCACATCCACGCACTCGAGGGAACAGCAGCTTTAGTCTAGCAGAGGGTGTAGAGCATAGAGCATGTAGACTATGATTATGAATAATGATACACCACACCGACCGGGACTCGGGCAGACCCTTCGTCTTCTTTTTCTCCGCTGCAGCCCTTTCTCTGCTCCTTGGGCCTGGGGAACGGGACCCTACATAGAGTCACACTGTGCCTATAGAGGACCTACATAATATCCAGCTAGTTTGCATGGAGCGTAGTGACGGTCTCTCCCTCTCTCTCTCCATGTTCCCAGCCAACCCCCTGGGCCATCCCTTCTTTTCCCCTTCTTTTGTTCCCCTTCCTCTCTCTTTCGCTCTCCAGGATTCAACGCTGGGCCGGCCAGGGGTTGAGGCTCAAAATAGAGTTGGTTGGATGTGGGCTACGCAGGCTGCGCGTAGAGCCAATGGCAGGTGCAGCAGCCACACACCTCCACACACAGCCACTGGGGACTGTGCGACCGATTGGCTGCCGATCCCTGCCTGCTGGCTGCACCCTTGCTGTTGCTGTTGCTGCTGCTGTTGCTGTTGCTGCTGCTGTTGCTGTTGCTGCTGCTGTTGCTGTTGCTGTTGCTGCAGCTGCCCGTTCCTGGCAGAATCGCTCGCTGGGAAAAAGAAGGAAGAGCGAGTGCGACACAGATTGGTGAGGTGAGAGCTTGGACTCATCCGAAGAACACCGTGGTCAAAGGACAGAATTAGAGAACAAGTGAGGTGAGAGGAGAGCTCATCTCGACAACTCCACATCTCCACATCTCCACATCTCCCCTCCTCTTATTCTTCCTCTTCTTCCCCTCATTCTCTCCCCCTCCTAGATCCTCTCTCTCCCCCACGATCTCTTCCACCTGCAACACACTCGCTATTTCCCCTGCATAAGCCCTGCGCTGTCCCTCACTTCCTATTCTTCCTTTTTCTTAACCCGCCTTTATACTGAATTGAGTTCAGTGCCTTTTCTGCCATTTCCACAACCCACTTTCTCTTACTTATAGAAATGACACGTTTAAAGGCTTCCTCTGCAAAGCGCCACCGTCACCGTGCAAAGACCGCAAAGGACCCCATCACTGCCGTTGCTGATTCAGTCGCCCATAGAGCCGAGGAAGCAAAGGACCATGGGAGCTCCATATTCCAGCTGGTCATCTGTGTTGGTGGCATCTATGCTTCATTGTAGGCACCATGATCATTACCTCAGCTATGCGCACTCCGCTAACCAGCTCTTAGCTTGACCTGGGCCCTCTTGCAGGAGAGGATAACCACCACTCCCTATGGCGCAGACAAGAAGATCTTTCGCGCGTCGCTCGTCCTCAATACCGTCCAATCGATCTTCGCGGCGTTTACCGGATACATATATTTCCGCTACTCCAACGCTGGTTCCACCACTGCGCGAGTGTTCCCCAATCTCTCAATCTCACTTAGGCTTCTCCTCGTATCCGTAACCCAATCGCTCGCCTCGCCCTTTGGCTATGCGTCGCTCAGACACATCGACTACATCACCTATATCCTTGCAAAGTCATGCAAGCTCCTCCCCGTCATGTTCCTGCACGTCACCCTCTTCAGGCGCAAGTATCCGCTCTACAAGTACGTTGTCGTCATGCTTGTCACTGCCGGTGTTGCCGTCTTTACCCTGTACCCCAGCAGCCCCAAGAAGATGAAGAAGTCCTCTACCTCCGAGTCGGAGAAGAACGTCCTCTGGGGAATGTTCTTGCTTGGTGTCAACCTTCTCTTTGATGGTCTCACAAACACCATCCAGGATGACATCTTTGCGCGCACTCCTAAGGGTGTCGTGAGTGGGCCGCAGATGATGACTGCGCTCAACACGCTTTCATCCGTCATGACCCTCAGCTACCTTGCGCTGAACCCGTGGAGCAATGAGTTGGCCGACGCACTCGCATTCGTCCAGGAGCATCCTAAGATTGTCATGGATATCCTTGGATTCGCTATCTGCGGTGGTCTCGGCCAGGTGTTCATCTGTAAGTCTCCTTCCCTAGGCTAAATTAAATAGAGGAAGAATACTAATCAATCCCCAGTCCACACTCTCTCCAAGTTCGGCTCTCTTGTCCTCGTGACTGTCACCGTTACCCGAAAGATGCTGTCAATGATCTTCTCCGTGTTTGCGTTTGGACATAGTCTCTCCAGTATGCAATGGCTCGGTGTTGGTCTCGTCTTTGGCGGTGTTGGCGCGGAGGCGGAGATGAAGAGGCAGAGCGAGGTTGCCAAGAAGAAGGCAAAGTTGGAGAATGAACACGCAAAGAAGCAGTAGTTGTGAATTGTGCTCGCTCTTTCTTTCTTTGTTTTTTTATCTGGTGGTGTAGAGGGCGTAGAATTACACTGCATTTGTATTATATAGGTTGGGATTTATAGAAAATAAATGAGCTATACTTTACATATGACCTCTTGATGATGATTGGTACTTGGTCGTCTATTTAGTAGTGGTGAAAATTTTGGTAGTACATACATGTATGTACGTGGACGAGGTAGCGAATGGTAGTCGTGGTTGCAGCTGTTGCCACTAGACACGAAACCGAGTGATAGTTCCTGACTCAACCCTTCCCCCACTCCCCACACCCACCATCATACATGTAAGAAATTCCAGGTATAGAGTGGTGGAGGGGCAAATCTTCGAACGACGTCGTTCGTGTCCTCTAAACCGTTACGACAACCTCCACCAACATCAAACGTCCTTCATCCTCATCACAAATGTGGCGTCAAAAGTATACACACCAACGTACTAAACAGACACCCCCTCCCACACCACTTCTCTCTCAAATTTTCCAAAGGCCTCTTGAAACCAAGCTGAAAGCAGAGGCTTTTGTAGTTTCTACTCCCTGTGGTACACTACGAAGAGCTAAGGCAAGAATAGTTTTGTTTGTGCGTGTCGCAGATCTATTTAAATTTTGGCTAGGAAAGGTTTTGTGTGTGAGCTTAAGCTTGACTACATGTACTTTTACACTAGCAGAACCTTTGGCCCACAGAATGTGGTCATGCTTTCATGTACAGTACAGTCTCCCTATAAGGGTTCGGGTTATAAGGGTATTCGTCCTTATAAGGGCAGGTGTTTGGGGTCCCCAATGGGCTTCGTAGGTACAAATTTGCTCGTCCTATAAGGGTAACGGCTCTATAATGGTAAATTTCGGTCCCGGAGTACCCTTATAAAGAGACTGTACTATATAATATAACGGATTGTAGTACATATTAATTTAATGATACCTCCCCATACCCCGTTAATAAATAGCTTTTGATACCCCGCTGATGGTATCTCAATACCACCCAGTATATTTTAAAGGTTTGTTCAGTCTGTGTAATTAAAGGAAAGAAAGATCTTCACGAATTTGACTGTATACCGTTTAAATTTGGGGTATGCCGTTGGGGGGGTACTATGCAGGGTCAGGGTTTCCGCTCTCGACCAATCAGAGTGCGAGTAGGTTAGAAGAATTAAGGGCAGCATATTAGATATGCGTGGCTGATGGTTACGTGTAGTATATTGTTAAACTAGGGAATTCTCTGAGTCATCACCCTTTTAATGCAGCTCTTCCCCGCCTTGAATCTCGTCGGTTGGGAGTCAGCGGGCAGGTGGGCTTGGCATGCGAGTGATGACCTGTGACTCGATTCACACACCTCTCCTCCCAGCAGGAAAATATCAATCGAGCATCCCACTACTACATGTACCCATACGGGTGAGCTACGAGACCATCAATGTACGAACCGTTAGCAAAGACCTTCTCTACCAAGCCCTCTCCCCTACTTTTTCCACCATCCTCAACAGCAACCAATGGCTCTCCTCCATCCTCCTCCTCCTCCTCCCTCCTCAAACCCTCACGGGGCCACACGCCAACCACTCTTTTCTCACCCTCCCCCTGCCCAGAAAATCCTTCTCCCTCGCCCCCCGTCGGGGGGTTAGAGCAACTAGTAACCGCCCCGTCATGGGCCGGACTCCAGTTCTGTGTCTTCCTCCCCCCACGGGGAGGTGTTTTGGTGTCCCTCCCCTCACGGGGAGGAAATTTTTTAATGTGCTCTGCCTCCTCCCTTCATCGGGAGGAGGCCAAAATTCGACTTCTTTTTCGGCCCCTCTTGGGTCCTGGGCGGTGCCGAGGACCTGATAGGGGCTTTTGGTTTTTGGGTTGCTTATCCCTCTGGTTTCCTCTCTTCTCTTCCTTTTTGGGAGAGAGGGTTTTATCTTTGTCATTTCCCTTGGGAGGTGACATTGGTTTTGGCTTCTCTTCTCTCCTTCGTGGAGAGGGGGTTTGATTTTTGCCCTTTCCTTTACGAGGAAGTGGCATTAATTCTCTCTTCGCCTCTCTCTTCACGGGGAGAGACATCTTGTGGCTTCCTTTTTGTCCCTGTCAGGTCTTGGGCGATGCCGAAGGCCTGAAAGGAGCAAAAAAGTTGTCTTCTGTCACGTAATGGCTTTCTCCCCTCTTTATAAGAGCGTCCCTTTTCTTTCTCTCTTCTCCCCTCTATGAGAGGGGGTTTACGTTCGCCCTTTCCTTTCATAGGAATTGGTATTCGTAATACCATTACTCCTTCCATCGCTGGGAGGAGCTTACAATGGCTGCTTTTCTGTCCCTGTTTGGTCTTGGGCGATGCCGAAGACTCGAAAGGAGCATAAATGTTGTCTTTTTTGTCACGAAGTGGGGTCCATGATACCCAGTGTGCTTGTGGGTTTGCTTTGAGACCATGATCTCGAGGCTAGATGAGGCCAAACACCATATAAGGTTGACATACGTGGATGTCACCAGATGTTTGCGTGTACATGTAGCTTTCGTCCGAGGTTTTTCAAGCCTATAGAATAAATATATTCGCCAAAAACCAGACTTACAAACTGGCTAGTAATCTCACAAACAGCGTCTAGCTGGGGATTCTACAGCAAGGGATAGGAGAGATCAGCATGGTGAGTAGAGCTTCAGGGAAGTGGTAAGACAGTGAGTATTGAAATAATGAAAGAGCAGAATATTGAGTGTCTTTCCTAACTGATCGATGAACATAGCCTGTGTCTACATGTACATGTAGTTTCGTGTTGGACGGTTTGTTTAAGGAAAGATGCATGTTTTCATCTGGTTGAAGACTGTGGATGGGATGGGCGAATTAGATACTGTTTATATCTGGCAGGTATGTAAATTTTCAAGTTTGTATCTTTCGAACCTTGTTTATTCTATGCAGATGAAAGATTGACACCATACTCAGCAATGCAGAAGGGCGTTAAATGGTCAAACCGATGAGCTTGAGCTCGGGGTCTACATTCCTAACTTGGGTGCACGTGCGTAGTTGTAGAACCTATATGTCTGAACTCTATTCTGCAAGCTTTTAGAATGGTAGTGAGATGTCACTCGATGGAGTAACAATGTCCACCCAAATTCATGTGGTTTGGCAAACTGGTCGCGTTTGTGTTACGTCTTGCGCGGTGGTTGTAGTTCGGTACCTGTGGTGGTTGCTAGTTGATTGATAATTCAAGAATTGTTTGCAGGTTGCTAGTTGTTAAAATGTGATGATCATGATCCCCTTTTTGCGAGTGATATCTCGAGATGCAACTGTATCTGAGAGATCAAGCCCTCGCACTTTGCACAGGTTTCCGCGCATCTCAATGAACCAGACTGAACGATGAAAACTTTTTTATTTATTTATTCTAAAACCAAACCTCAAGCCCAAGCTAACTAGCACGAAAGAACCCAATGCAATATGGTATTCCAGCCCAGAAATCTCAAATGCCTGGCCCTCGCCAACAGATCACAGACCCGTCTACAAGAATGCCTCGAGATTTATCTCCATCGCCGAAACGGGGTATGGGATTTCGAACTTCTCCAGAACGGAGGGGTGAAGACTGTTTTTTTCGTTAGTATTGGCGGAGGGAAGTTCTGCGTCATGAATTATCACTCACATTCCAAAGGTTCCAATTGACGCCTTTCTGCCGTCCTGGTAGCTGATCCAGATACTGGCTGCGCGGCCAGGGAAGTAGGTTGGGTCTGCTTATGTCAGTGTTGTTTAAGACAAAGGTTCTTCTGTGCGGCTCACCATCGCAGGCCTCAATCCAGTATCCCTCCTTCGCCTCCTCCGCACCGCTCTCCGTCACGCCCGTAGACAACATGGCCATAACCCTATCCAGCAGACCATGGACAACCTCAAATCCACTTGTCTTCCCGCAGATCGCCGCCGCAAAATGCCTCTCGTTGCGACTCTTCCTCTCCAGACTCTCGTCCTTGAACGCAACGTCGCTGCTCTCAAACACCTTGATCGGGAGCGAGTGCTTCCTGTTCTCCCTGATTGTCTTCAAGATACCGGGCAGCAGCGAGGTACGCACAACCTGGTACTCTGTAGTCTTTGGGTTCGCAAGCTTGACAGCCGTCTTGCCGTCGTCGGTGCGGTTGAGCCATGCAAAGTTCTCGTCGTGCGAGCACAGGATGAGCGGCATCACCTCGCTCCACCCACACATTGCAGCCTCGAGACGTACAATGTCGCCGAGCTTGTTGAGGGGGAGAGGGGCGGCGATGGTGCCCGATTTTCCGGGGAAAGTCTTGGGGAGGTTGTTGTAGCCGTAGGCGATTGCGACGTCCTCCATGATGTCGCATTGGTGGAGTACATCGGCACGGGTAACGGGGACCTCGATATCGATGATATCGGCGTCTGTGGTGGAGGGTTTGGCGATGAAGGACATCTTCTCGAGGAGCTTGCAGATCTCCTCAGCGGTGAGGGAGAGGCCGCAGCATGAGTTGATGTAGCTGATTTCGGCGGTTGTGGAGCGCGGAGTGAGGTTGGGGACTTCACGGGACTCGGAGTTGTGGGTGGAGACGATCTTGACGGGTTCCACGCTATTTGTGGTGTTAGTAGGGCTTACGGGATCTGCGGAGAAGGGAGGAATACGTAAAAGCTTCGTCGCAGTATTGGGAGAACATTGCGACGAGGATGTTGGTGACGATCTCGACCTTGGTGCGGTCAGTCGCTGTGACCTCAATGAAGACATTTCGGGTGTCAAGGGTGATCTTTGAGCGGTCGCTGTTGATGATTGGGGGAAGTGAGCAGACGTTGCGCTCAGCGTCGAGGATAACAGGGTACACGGGCGAGTCCCTGATGATGTGGAGGTATTTCCCGAGGTTCCTGTCGTTCTACAACCAGAGCTTCAGCAAACGTGGAATATCCTCCAACAGGATCTCGCCCGAGCGCGAACCTCGTAGAACTCCATCAATTCCTTCCCGTTCATAACCTTCTCCTGGTTCAATGGCGCAAAGACAATCTCCTCCGGTGAGAGGGCCTCGTAGGTGAAGGGTCCCTTTACTGTGTCGAGATCATGGGTCCCCATAGACACTAATGTACGCTGGCGACACAGGTTCTGGTGAAGTTTATCTTGGAGCGCAATGAATGAGTCATATCGGTCCTGGGTGAACTTGATCCCACGCAGCACAGCAGCGGAGACGTACGGCCGGATTTGAGCAGTCTGGTGCTCGGTGTCAGTAGAAATATCATGTGCTGGAAATCAAAGTCTGTCTGGTACCGATTCATGGACATGGATCTCGTGAACTTGGCCCTCAGCGGGAGAAACGACACGGTAATTTGGCATTGGGGTCTTTCCACGGAAGATGTTCAACATCAGGGAAATACCCTCGTGGCAGAGCATGTCATATCTACGGGGGGGTCAACTCCTGCAATTTTTAACGGCGCGGACAACTTTACCTGTTGGCGGGAATTTCAATTTTGAGTTGAGGCGCCTGGTCTTTTGGTCTGTCGGCGTCGCCCTCGGTCTATTGATAAATTGGAATACTGTCAGAGCAATCATTTCCAGAACCGTGAAGTATTTTTCATGAGACCATACATCTTCGTCCAACTCGATACCTATGAATTTCGAAAAGCATGGTTAGTGATATGATTAACTATGCATATGTAAAAATAGAGACAGAGCCGCATACCAAACTCGAAGCAGAGCTCATCGAATTCTTCGGTGGTGTACTGCTGGCCAAGAGCCTCGAAGAGATCATACTTATTTACTGCAACGGTAGGCATGGCTTAAGGTGGCCTGCTAGCTCTCTATCAGACAGATGAACAGAGGTTGTTAATTGAGCTGCGATGAGGTCTGTGAGCTCTGCAGTCGGCAGCTGTGATTATGGCAGATATGACTCGATGGAGGGGTTGGAGGGGTCAAAGGCTGGTGGGTTGTGCGGGGGTCTCAGATAAGCCTCATAGTGTGGCTGTGCGAGATACCAACTATCTACAGAATGTGGCGTAATACATCACCTCTACACGGGACCAGCTTCCTGCTTGCTTGATAGTAAGGTGCTTTGTAGTTATTTTTGTGCCATCTGTGTGCTACTGCTGCTGCTCCTCACTCGACTTTGCTAGTAGAGCCAGCAGGGTGCGACAGAGAACGAAGACAGCATCTCTCACCTCACACAACCAACACATCCCACTCGTTGCTCTCATTCCAGCAACAACACAAGCCCCTCATCCCAAGCCATATCAGCTCAAGCCTGTTCTCCTTCCCCCACATCCACATCAACACTCCATCCATCCATCCACGCCCACGCCCTTTGCTCAATTACCGTGTGTGTCCCTCCCCTCATTCCCGCTCCTTCTCCACTTGTTGCTGCTTCCTCTCTTCTTGACATTTCCTCCCTCTCCTCTGACACCCCCCCCCCCCCCCCCCCTCTCTGCCCTCTACCCTCTTTGCTCGCCCGCTGCTGCTTTGACCCGTTGAACGCTATCGGTCGCAGCCCAGCAAGCAAGCATAAGATACCATAGTGCACAGTTTATTTCATCACCAATACCCCCAACCAACTCTTGTTAGTAATTCTTGACTTGCCATACCACCCCCATCCCCCCTTATCCGATATGATTGCCCCTCCCTGCACGATATCCTTCAACGCAGATCTATTATCTACCTACTCAAAGAGATCCCCCCACCACCCTTGAGGCTCTTCAACTAATTCCGTTCCTCCTACATTTCATAGTGCCCAGTAAACCTCTCGATTTCCCTCGAGCTACCTCTAACAACAATAGTATCCTTTACCTGAGACACCCCCATCGATCTCCCGTCGAGATCAATAACTACGCACGACCATAACAAGCTGATCCCTTGCTCCTCTTTGCACAATGGATCTTCAGCCCGCTAGCGATGAGCTTTACCCAATAGCTGTCCTGATAGATGAACTAAAGGTTGGAACTAACCTGGCGATACTCGGCGAGCATTGTTGTTGATTATGGAGCACAAGTTACTAATGGAGGCTGCAGCATGACGATGTTCTTCTCCGCTTGAACGCTATCAAGCGTCTATCGACCATCGCTCTCGCGCTGGGCGCAGAACGAACCCGGGATGAACTCATTCCATTTTTAGACGGTACGCATAATAGTGAATGTCAAAAAAATAATGATGAAAAAGGAAAAAAAAGAGACAGAGAGAGAGAGAGGGGAAAAGAGAAAACAAATAAACCAAGCATCATGCATTTTCATCCATTCGAGTAGTGCTGACTGGCGTATTTTCACGGGCAACAGAATCTGTAGAAGACGAAGATGAGGTATTGACTGCTCTTAGCGAGGAGCTTGGAAATTTTGTGGAATATGTTGGAGGTCCTGAACATGGTCACGTGCTTCTCTCACCTCTGGAGAACCTTGCTGCTATTGAAGAGCCACTTGTGCGTGAGAAGGTAGGTTTATGAAGCTTCAAGTTTAATTTCCTTGGCGTATCAACCGAGTTGCGCCTCGTGTTCTAGCCCTGACAAGTATCATAGGCAGTCGAATCACTCAACAAAATATGCGATGATCTGTCTCAAGCTCAAATCGAAGAATATTTTATTCCTCTTGTCATTCGTCTTTCAAAAGCCGATTGGTTCACTTCAAAGATCTCGGCGACGGGTCTCTACACAGTGCCATACTCAAAAGCGTCCCCTCGTTCCCAGGATTCGCTTAGATCGCAATTCTCCCAACTCGTACACGATGATACCCCCATGGTACGAAGACAGGCAGCTACAAACCTGGCAAAATTCGTCAAGGCTATGCCCGCCGAGTTGGTAGCTAGCGAGATGATTCCTCTGTTCCAGCATTTGGCCCAGGATGATCAGGACAGCGTAAGGTTATTGACGGTGGAGGTTTTGATTAGCATTGCAGAGGTTGTGCCCAAGGACCAGCAACAAAGTCATTCAGTCCTCTTGGCTATTCTCAGAAGCTTGTTTGGAGACAAGAGTTGGAGAGTCAGATATATGGTTGCGGACAGATTCGAGAAGGTAATTATTGGTTATACTACAAGAAGTATGTCAGATTCAACTGACATATCGGATTTTTACTTAGCTTGCGAAAGCTGTCGGAGATGACATTGTCAGGCGCGATCTTGTTCCTGCTTTTGTCAAACTTTTGAAGGACTCCGAGGCGGAGGTCCGAACTGCTGTTGCCGGACAAATCCCAGGTAATCATTTTATTCCATTATTAGTCAAAGGGACAGATAAGTTAAGTGAAATGTAGGATTTTGTGGGTTGCTTGACCGCCAGACTCTTTTGGATGAGATCATGGGAGCTGTTGAGGACTTGGTCAGCGATGGCTCCCAGCACGTCAGGGCCTCTCTTGGCACGCAAATCAGTGGACTTGCCCCCATTCTTGGAAAGGACGAGTGAGTGAATCTTTGTGTTTCTTTGAAGCTTGGAGAGTGCCATACTAAGTATCCTTTCGCACTTTAGAACAATTGCACACCTCCTGCCAATGTTCCTACAGATGCTCAAGGACGAATTTCCCGATGTGCGTCTACACATCATCTCAAAACTGGAGCTTGTAAATGATGGTAATAATGGCTCTATTCTTCTATTTATCTGGATACTGATATCTTTTGATAGTTATCGGTATTGAGCTTCTTTCTCAATCCCTCCTTCCAGCTATCGTCCAATTGGCCGAAGATAAACAGTGGCGAGTAAGATTGGCGATCATTGAATACATTCCCCTCCTCGCCAAACAGCTAGGCGTAGAATTTTTCGATGAGAAGCTCGGAAACTTGTGCATGAGCTGGTTGGGAGACACTGTCTTTTCAATCCGTGAAGCTGCAACCCAAAACCTGAAAAAGTTGACAGAGGTGTTTGGCGTCGAATGGGCTAGACAGACCATCATCCCCAAAGTTATGGCTATGGGCAACCAAACTAATTATTTGTACCGTATGACAACCTGTGCCGCGATCACGGTAAGTGCATTCTCCGTTTTCTCTAGAAAATCTTTTGAACTAACGGAAATCCCAGACACTCGCCCCCGCTGTCAATATCGCGGTCATCCAAGAATATATCCTACCCATGATCAACCAGCTGATCGATGACCCAATCCCCAACATTCGTTTCAACGTTGCAAAGTCTTATGGAGTTCTTATCAATGTTCTCCGACAGCTCCCCGCTGAAGGAACCTTGGCGAGCCTGCGGCCGGAGGATGCAAACAATGGCCCATGCCCTGCAGGTTTGGAGTTGATACAGAAGCAGATCACTCCAAGCCTGGAGAAACTGCAGGGAGATGAAGATGTAGATGTTCGATTTTTTGCGAACCAGGCATTGGCCAATCTCGGGGAATTGATGCAAACTTCTCCGTAGACGATCTCAGGGAGTGGAACTGGGCAAATAAATTCGAGGTCTTTTTGTTTTTGATAGATCGTTGGGTATCCTTTGTGTGTTTGAAAATTCTTGTGGGACCCGAGCCTAAGTGCTTGAAGAAAGGTATCTATTGATTTGCTCCGAAACAATTAGGAGGAGGAGAAGAAGAAGGGGGGGGGTGGAAATACCGGATTTCTTAGTCGTGGCTGAATATGAGTTTTGTAAATCTGTTTTGCTACAGGTACTAACTCTAGATATGCTAGTTGCAGAAAATAATTGTGAGTGGTAAAGATAAATATAAACAAATTTTTCCTCTGTAACCACTCCGTTCTTATCGTGTTCCTTGCCAGGGTTTAGAGGTTATTGATTCATGCCGTATCACTCGGCGGAAACGACCTGAATTCCTCGCATGTTCACATTCACACTGTTTGCATCTCTAGTGCCAACCTGACCCTTAAAGTAGCAACAATCTAGAATTCTGAACCTCAACCACTCCTCACGGAGTCCTGACGTTGAGACAAGACTTCTGCATGCTTGGCAGGGTGCAGAGCCGCACTTCTACCCCACCACGCATGTGCACTACCCCGCCTGTATCCCATAGCGCGTCCCCAATATCAAAAAAGCAACCGGGCACAATATCACTCGTCCATATACTCATAACAGCGCTGCAATAATGGCTTCACCACTAGAGCCCACCAGCGAGCACCTAAACCCCAGCAAGCTGGGCACCAAGGAATAGTGGGTCCCCCCCCCCCCTCCCCTCCCCTCCCTCCCCTCCCCTCCCTCCCCTCCCCAGCTGCAGGCACAAGCCATGGCCATTTGCAATTAGAGATCTCAATATCTATCTACATGTACCCATATCTCCTACTAACACCCGCAAGAACCACAGCTGGGACCAAGCCTACGAAACCGAATCCCACAACTTCTCCGCCGACCCCACCAACGAAGGGCAAATCTGGTTCGACGAGTCCGACGCCGAGTCGCGCATCCTCCGCTACCTCTCCACCCAGGACCTGCCCGCCTCAACATCCTTCCTCGACGTTGGCACGGGCAACGGACACCTGCTGTTCGAGCTGGTCGAGAGCGGCGAGTATGATGGGGGTGCCATGGTGGGGATCGATTACTCGCCCAAGGCTGTGGAGCTCGCAGAGAAGATATCTGTGGAGAGAGGCGTGCAGGAGAGGGTGAGGTTTGTCGTCGCGGATTGTGTGAAGGATGAGTTGAGTGCGGCGGAGTGGGTGCCACAGGGCGGCTTTGGGGTCGTGCTGGATAAGGGGACGTTTGATGCGATTTCGCTCAGTGGGGAGGTGCTTGGGGATGGGAGCGGGAGGAGGCTGTATGAGGGGTATGCGCAGGGGGTGGTGGGCGTGATGGCGAGGGGCGGGTTGTTGGTTGTTACTAGCTGTAATTGGACGGAGGAGGAGCTGAGGGCGAAGTTGTTGGTGAATCAAGGTGAGTACTAGTGGATGTGTTTGTGGGTTGAGGTGTTTGGAGGGAGTGCTAATAGCTGTGTGACAGATTTGGAGTATCACGGGAAGATATCCTATCCGTCTTTCTCGTTTGGGGGAAAGACGGGGCAGACTATATCCTCAATCTGTTTCCGTAGGAAGTAGATCATAGCAGTGTAAATAGAATAGAATAATAAAAGGTCTATAATTCCAGAGCACTTAGAAACGATTGTGGTATTTATCTCTAGCTAGCATGCACCGCACAACAGTAAAATCTACAAAACTCCCCAAGCCCACGCATTCACAACCTCCTATGCCTAAACACCCCAATGGCCAACCACTGCTTCCTCTCCACCGGGTCCTCAAACCCTCTATCCCTAACCCACGGCCTCTCCACCCCCTCCGTATTTCTCTCCCTGATGGGTCCCACCAGCTCCAGCCCGGCCCTCTCCGCAGCGTCAAAGAAGCTCGCAACCTTTGCCCTCCCGGTGTGGTACCCGGCAATTGCGAGACAGAGGCCGCCGTCTTTAGCCAGTAGATGTGCGATCGACTTGCTCAGATTGTCGTGCTGCCAGTCCATCCAGAAGCAGTCGGCCGCAATGACCCGTGTGAACCCGCCCGGGTTCGCCGTACACAGATCGTCGCTGAGCTCGCCCCACATGTGGCCGGCGACGGACACTCGCTGGCGGTCGGGTGGGGCGGTGATGTTGGTGTCGATGTTTTGGCTGATGTTGCTGATGATCTCGTCTGCGGGATAGTCTGATATTACCGTCTGCAATGTTTGACAGGTTTCTTTAGTTCAAAATGTTCCCTTCCCTCAATAAAACCAATAAACCAATAAACCAATAACGAATCCCGGACAAGGTCAATATACCTGTTTAGCTCCTGCAAGCACTGATATGATACTTGGCAGCCCCGCGCCCGCCCCCATCTCAACTACCGTTTGGTCCTTGACATCAAACTCGCCTTCCGTGATCATCTCAGCAGCTTGAACACCCGCCTATATTCCCAGACAAACCTGCCGCATGTTGATCCCTCATTAGCCCCTTCCCCCCACGCAGAAATCCTCAAAAGCCGCCGCGTCATAAAAAACACTTTATAACCGGCGGACGGAGCTATATTACGTGCATTCCAAAGAAAGTGCGAAAAGAGGCTGTTGTTCTCCTTGTCCGGGTCTGATAGGCGCAGCTTTATGTCGCCGTATACATCGGACTTGTAGAGGACATAGTGGCCGGGCTCGCCGTGCTGGTTGCGCGCTTCGGCGAAGATGGTGAAGATGGACTGCTCGAAGATATCGACGTCCTCAGTCTCACTGCCACTGTTCTCAAGCTCAACGACCTTGTTGGTGAGCATTGTATTGCTGGGGGTAGAAATTTATGTAGTCGAGAGCACGAGGTGGAGGGATAATGCGTCGTCGAAACAAGTTTTACTGTTTTACTGCTTTAGTACTGCAGTTACCCCACATACAAATCAATTATGACGGCGGGGTGGTGGATGCAAACCGTGGTTTTGGGCTGTTGTAGTCAGACGAGGACCGAACCCATCTCTTGGCAACTCTCCCACTCTGGTTAGCGGCTGGTGCCGACGGGGCCAATGATTCGCCAGCTGCATCTCATTCGGGAAATGTCGGACTGGTCATTGGACGTCGTTAGTAAAACAGGTTTGTCACTATTGGGATAGGCACCAGTTACTCTAGAAAGCTTCTTTCGGAAGGCTTTCTTGTAACTCACTCGCCACTCGTTAGAGTACCACTGCGCTCGACGAGGTGTGCCGTTACCTAGATAAATTAATAGCGCATAGTGCTCAATAAATCGGCCGTTTCTTGTCCTATACCTTGCAATAGAATAGTATGGATGTATCTGCAAGGTAGAGTGCTTAATTTCTACCCTCATCTGCTGTGTTCGACATGCACTGTAAATCCTGTTCAAGGCCACATATACTGAAGGTCATGTCAAGGTACCAGCCGCATTGCAGCGTTGTAGAAGTTAGCGAGCAAGCTTATGTCACTCCTGTTACTGCTCAACGGCTGCCTACGTCCGGGAACGTGGATCGCCAGCACGCAATATCGATACATGCATTAAAGATGGTGTGGGGGGGCTATATTCGAGTAGAAATATTAGCCTGGTAGTAACTTGGAGACATGCAGATCTGGCCTGAGTAACGGGCGGGTACCGGTTCACAGCCATCATCTCTATTCCATGTCCGTTAAAAGACAGATCCACGGGGAATCTTATTCACTGTCTGACACAGCTGTACAGTGCAAAGGCTGCAAGGGTAGATAGTAAGAGTCTGCGTCCGTTTTACACCCCGTGCACGTGTGGCATAATATATATTAACTTTGGAAGACTCACAACGAATGGCCATGGGCACATACATTCTGTACCCTGTGCTTCTAGCCCACATATCGTAACCCCGTGTCCACTGACCGTGTACGATATTTAGGCTTATTCTCTGACATGGCCGTACTCATGTCGAACCAGTATTTCCTGTGATTCGTGTGTGCCGGTGGGTTAGCTGCTTATATGACTCTTGATATAATAACAAGGCTTGGAAAACGTTACGTAAACTCAAAACCTACCGGCCTTGAAAAAAAAAAAAAGAAAAAAAAGAACTATCAAGCATATATCAGAGAACTGACGGCCTAGTAGGCATAGATTTATTTTTTTTGAGCTCATGATGCCTAAATACGTCTGCAACCTTGCGCTGCATAAGGTTAATTGCACAACTATTAGTGATCATGTGCTATCACTCGCATAACATAAACTTTCAAAGTTAAGCTTTTGCGCCGTAGGACAAGATATATGAATAATTGGGCTCATTTTAATAAATATTTACCTAATTGGGCTCCGAAAATGATCTTCGGGGAAGTCACCTCTGACAGGTCGGAGTCACCCGAGTGATGTCTCGTGATTAAGGCTCTGAGTAAACCTTGGGTGCCGGCCAGTTAGTTACCAACCATCTGGAGACGCATCAACGTAAAGTATTCCTTTTTAGTGATGAGGAGGGTAGAACGGTCACAACAAGCGTGACTAAACACAGTTTCTCGAGTCACATTAGTGACTTTGCGTAACAAGAGTACATGTACTCACTTAAATACCTTGTAGGGTAGACAAATTATTACGACAGAAATGGAAATTATAAGTCATTCCGTGCATAGCCTTTCATATAGTTCAAAGCTTATAGTTATAATAGCGGATCTTGGACCACACATTTTTATAACGGTCTAGTGGTTCTTAGAGGCTCGGATCGACCGGGCACTAGTAATTAACATCCCAACCTTCGGGATCCCCAGACCCAGGAAAGCCCATAGGATAAGACAAAAAGTAATATAATAATTGGCCCAATGTATAGGCGCTAGTAATGTGGCTTGAGTGAAAAGAGAAACTACCATAGATACTCGGGGCAGGTAAAAAGTACCGGACAATGCAGGTTTGTGGTTCACCAATGGGTGTGCGTGCTAGGCGTGAGCTACTGCAAAAAACCCCAGAGACAAAACTTGCATTGTCCGGTACTTTTTACCTGCCCCGAGTACCCTTGGAGCCCACATACGTACAGGCTGACGCAGGGGACATTGCAATGGTGGTTCCGGTGAGACTTCCTGATATGCAAGATAGAGATGCATGACTTCCTCATCTTATAGTTTAATTTCCTTTTGAACATGGATCATAAGCTGAAATGGGATTCCCATCTCGCCGAGCTTGATTACTTGTGCTCTGGTATGACTATACTCATTGGAGTCATAGAACATCACTCGTTCTTTAAGCACATTTTATGATGTGCCCTCAACTTGCGAGTTAAAGGATGTTTCCACCAACTTCATAGAGCATTTATTCTAGACTACCCAGATGTAACGAGCAGCATGCAAGAAGTTGAGTAACTCAACTACGCATCGATATAAGCACGTGCAGCGCCAGGCAGGGTAACATGGTGTCAGTAGCTGTTGTAAAGTCCCTAGCTGAAGAATCGCCGGTCCTGTCACTGGTACGGATCGAGATCGGGGTTCGAAAAAGCAACCCTAGAATATACCAACCAAGCATTTCAATACCACCGTTAAAACCGTCAAAAGAAAAGAAAAAGCACCGTTCGTCACGACTAACCTACCCGTAAATTAGTCTACTGCGTGCCCAAAGCCTCTCCGTTGGTCTTTTTCCTAAACGTCACCTCAATGGTTTTTCCGCAGGGTGAATTCATGAAGGGCGAAGGGTGTCGCTTTTAGCCGGACACACCGTTGTCATTACAGGCTGCAGCTAGCTACAGCACAAACAAACTGTGGAGAACTGTGCGAGACGACTGCTTAAATGAATGTGATACCTGTCTAAGACTGGGCCGAGCCAGAAGTGAATAGATCGAGTCCAAACTATGACCCTCGCCGCTTGGAAGCAGAGAATAATCGATCCTAATACTCCTTCACGATGGCCATAAAGACGTGCCGGAACTGCAGAACTAATCATTTCGCGACAGACTACCCATGCTCTAGGGCTACCATTCGAAGGGTTTCAAACAGCCCAACTTTCCGCAAAGGTCCGATTTCATTTGTTTACTTCCGAAGGGACCCGGAATGGATGGAGGCTCTAGAGTTCGCCTTATCACTCGGCCTGCCTGATAATCGAAAAGGTGTGTAGTCGCTAGAGGATCGAGTCTCATGGCTAGATCGAGTCTTATGCATCCATGGCTTGAAAATGGGTGCAATATGATAACACCGTTATCAAATGCTGCAGGCATTCATCGACGCGTGGTGAGCAGGCATTGTTACACGCCGTTCTGTAGCTTCGCAATGGTACAAAGTCTAGAGATCACTTCCGTGATAGGATACTATGGCCACGTTTACGCTCTCATCCATTTGAGCAACAACAGGGCTTAACCTAAGTTTGAACGTTTCTTATACTTGTGTTTTTCCGGCATGAAGCCGGGAGAACGACAGACAAACGCAAATGAAGCCGAGTTGTTGATATGTTGATGCATAGCATAAATTCATTTTATACCTATTTATTGCGACAAGTAATTCCTACTGGCTCGAAGTGGGTTATCCTCTCGAGTCCTAGGCTCATGGTTTCGAGAGTATGTACCTATGTAGGTACGTTCAATCGTAAACTTAGCTGAATCGTGAGGATCAGTACCTGCAGACCGACGGCTACCTATATAAAAAGTATTAACATATGAGACTA